AAGAAACTTATTTTGTTTTAATTAATGCATTGAACAAAAGAGACTTTTTAAAAATAAATAAATTGAGCAAAAGAGACTTTTTTATTGTTTAAATAAATGCATTGAGCAGAAATGGCATATTTCTATTTCTTTGCATAAATAAATTGAGCAAGAGACTTGTTTTTTTGTTTTAATAAATGCATTTAGCAGAAGAGGCTTATTTTTTATCCTCTTCTGCCTAATGCATTTATTAAAGCAATAAAAAACTATAAAATATGAAAGATAATACAATGAAATAAAAAATAAACAATAAACATTAAAAACATATTTAAAAGACTTATTTTTTAAAGAAATTCTTTGAGCAGAAGAGACTTACTTAGGCTCAGTATTATGCTGTAGGATGAGCTCAGCAAATATTCTTATTCTTTAAATATTGTTTTAATGAATGATACATCTTTTTTATGCTTAAATTGTCATTTAATTGAAATGCACAAATTATTTGCAAATATTGTTTTGTGTATTTTTATGAGAACATAATGACTACATAGCCATAAAAACATACAACATACAATGTGAATTATTATCCCTATTATCATTACAGCTACTATCTGTAGATGTGGTAGTAGTAGTAATTATCAACAGAAAATATATCTATTTTTATTTTAATTGTAATATTTTTAAATATACTTTCGTATTAGTTGGATTAGTTGACTTCACTTATACAATAGAGTATACATGTTGCCTTGTACAACGCAGTGGCGCAGTAGGTAGTGCTGTCGCCTCACAGCAAGAAAGTCGCTCAGTTGGCGTTTCTGTGTGGAGTTTGCATGTTCTCCCTGCATTCGTGTGGGTTTCCTCTGGGTGTTCCGGTTTCCCCCACAGTCCAAAGACATGCGGTACAGGTGAATTGGGCAGGCTAAATTGTCCGTAGTGTATAAGTGTGTGTGAATGTGTGTGTGGATGTTTCCCAGAGATTGGTTGCGGCTGGAAGGGCATCTGCTGCGTAAAAATGTGCCGGATAAGTTAGCAGTTCATTCCGCTGTGGCGACCCTGGATTAATAAAGGGACTAGGCTGACAAGAAAATGAATGAATGAATGTTGCCTTGTAATTATTTAGTAAACAAACTATGGGCATAATTATAAAAGTTATGTTAGCAAAACTAGCAAAACCAACTTGTTGCTTTTAAGGCAACGGGTTTACTCACTATTTTTAAGTAAAGTAACTTATCACTTTTTTACAGTTTTCCGCTAATAATCATCATTTCTCCCATAATGCCCTGCTGCTTTAGGTGTGATCGGCGTAATGACTGTGGAGACAGCAGTGATGAGCAGGGCTGCACCTATCAGCCGTGTCAGCAGCATCAGTTCACCTGTCAGAACGGCCGCTGCATCTCCAGGGATTTCCTCTGTGATGGAGATAACGACTGCGGGGACGAGTCTGATGAGCTGGACCACCTGTGCAGGATGCCTGCGCCCACCTGCCCATCCGGACACTTCCGCTGCGACAACGGCAACTGTGTGCCGCAGAGCCAAGTGTGTGATAGAAATGACGACTGCAGCGACAACAGCGACGAGAAGGGCTGCGGTGAGAACTACAGCATCTGTTATTTTGCCATCCCTGCTTCTTAAAGTCTTTTTCAACCAGTTGCTGAGACTTTTGTTTCAGTATGTTGATGTGCCTCCAACTGAAGTGGAATATTGAGTTGGAGGCGGGGCTTCTTTTGTGCATCATTCTCTCATAGCAAACTAACTGTAAAAGGGGTGTGGTCAATGTGCGTATTATACATTGAGGATGGGGGTCAACTTTTTTCGGCAGTAGTTTGGGAATGCTTTAGCTAATCAAATTTATGAATGTATTTAAAGTACATCTAATTTATTATTAAAATGTAAACGTTTTCAGTGTTTTGAGGGATATTTAGTGACTATTTTAGAGGTTACTGTGGATCAAGTTATACAATTTATGTGTATAATTTTTTTTAGGCTACATTCAGATATAAACATCTATTTTACAAGAAAGTTTTGTGAATACTAAAGATGTCTATTGGTGCTCTAGAACTGCCAGTTTCAGACTGTTGAATTAGATTTTTCCTAGCATTGATTGGTGCATTATGCATTCACAATGGTATAAGCCATTACAGGGGGGATCAAATGTATATTTATATTATACATTTTTAATTATTAATATTGAAGATACAGATCAGAGATCATAGAACGCTATTTTATTAAATAATAAAGGTCTGACCCCCCATATATCATGTTTTGATGTCCTTCGGTGGAGATCAAGCATTAATTGGGGGGTCAGTCGCCTCCCAAACCCCCCTGTAATTTGCACCCTGCAGTTTGCATCAATATATTTAAGTTACGACAGCATCTAACAAGGTTAGACAACAAACTTTATTATGTTAGCCAAATGATCTTTTCCTCTTCAATTAGAGGCACTTTTACATTGCTTAAACTCCATTTTTAAGTCGAGTGCTCAAAAAATCAAGTTGTTTCAACTAGTTTTTTTAATTAAAATTTAAAACAAATCCAGTGTTGTTTACTTAATTGCATGCAAATTTTCAAGTTTAAAACCTCAAATCAATTAAGTAGCTGAAATTGTTTCATTTTTTTTTTCAAATTTACTGTTTATTTGGTTGCATTTAACAACATTTTTGTTTTCCAGCGATTTTTTATTTGTTTTAAACCACAGATTTTCATTGTTTTACAAAACAAAAACATGTACCGTCCCACCATGATGTCATATAAAATTCACTTTAATGTGAGATAGGACTAAAAAGGGGTCATAAAAAAAAAAAAAAAAAGTTATTTTAAATTGTAACCAAATTTCACCATATAACAGTTTTAAAGTGTATTTTTAAAATAAATGATTAAATGCATTATGTGCAAAAAACATTTTTTTTTGAAAGAATGAATTAAGCAAAACAAGACTAAAAAAAAAACATTAAGTAAAATAGACCTATTTTTTAAAATGATTGCATTGTGAGCAAAAAAAAAAAACACATTGAGACTTTATTGTGTATTGTTTTAATAAATACAATGTGTGAAATGCTATTTTTATTTTTAAAAATATTTTTTTGCTTACAATACAATCATTGGAATATAAAAATGTATCTATTTTTTGCTTACAATACAATGTGTAAAATAGACTTATTTTTATATTTCAATAATTGTATTGTGAGCAAAAAAATATTTGTTTATATTTTTAAATAAATACAATAAGCAAAATACACTTATTAAAATATTTAATGATTCTATTTTGAGCAAAAATATTAATTCATATTTTTGAATAAATACAGTGAGCAAAATAGACTTATTTTTATTTTTTAAATGATTTTATTTTGAGCAAAAATATTTATTATTTTTTTAAATAAATAAAATGAGCAAAATAAACATATTTATTATTAATGATTTTATTTTGAGCAAAAAATATTTATTTTCATTTTCAAATGAATACAAAGAGCAAAATAGACTAATTGTAAAATTTTAGATGATTTTATTTTGAGCAAAATAATTTTTTTAAATAAATACAATGAGCAAAATAGACTTATTTTAATTTTTAAATGATTTTATTTTGAGCAAAATATTTATTTTTATTTTTAAATGAATACAATAAGCAAAATAGACTTTTAAATACAAGAAAATACAAATACAAAAAAAGAGGCTTATTTTAAATTTATAAATAAATGCATTGAGCAAAAGTGACTAATTTGTTTTTTTAAATAAATGCATTGCACAAGAGACTTATTTTTATTTATGTATAATTGCATTTTGAGCAAAAAAAAAAAACTTATTTGAACAAAATAACCTATTCTTAATTTATAAATGAATGCATTGAACAAAAGAGACATTTTTATTCCTATTTGATTTTCATTATTATACTGATTTTTAAATAAACTCATTCTTAGCAAACATAGTAGTGAACTGTACTGTGTTGTACAGCCATACAAAAATGCCCAGAACTCACTGTACTGTATGTATTTGTTCTCTCATATCATCGCAGGCATTAACGAATGCACAGACCCATCAATGCACCACTGTGACCACAACTGCACCGACACACTGACCAGCTTCATCTGCACCTGTCGGCCCGGCTACCGCCTCATGTCTGACAACAAAACCTGCGACGACATCGACGAGTGCTCTGTCACACCCAGCGTCTGCAGTCAGGTCTGCGAAAACACCCTGGGCTCATACGTCTGCAAATGTGCTCCGGGATTCCTCCGTGAACCAGATGGTCACAGCTGCAGACAAAACAGCAACATCCACCCGTATTTAATCTTTAGCAACCGCTACTACCTGCGCAATCTGTCCACGGACGGAGAGGCCTATTCGCTCATCCTGCAGGGTCTGAGTAGCGTGGTGGCTCTGGATTTCGACCGCGTGGATAAACGCTTGTATTGGATCGATGTGAGCCGCAGAGTGCTGGAGCGAATGTTTTTTAACGGGACAGGCCGGGAGGCGGTGGTCAATGGGGTTTTGCATGGTGAAGGGCTGGCGGTCGACTGGATTGGGAGGAAGCTTTATTGGGTGGACAGTTTTCTGGATTGTCTGAAAGTGTCAGAGCTGGACGGACGCTTCGTGAGGAAGTTAGCTGAACACTGCGTCGATGATAATCACACATACTGCTTCCAAAATCCCAGAGCCGTCGTGCTGCATCCCAAATTTGGGTGAGTTTATCTGTGGGGGGAAACTGAAAGATTGGTGGGCATGTGCAATGTTTTACAGGGCTCCCACGCATCTTGAAGGTATTTAAGTTTCAGACATAGGGCCTGGAAAGTACCTGTTGTTGTCTATTTGAAGGAATACGTCAATAGAGCCGCCATTTTAGTACAGGGTAGCGCTCCTTTAAAATGAATGCGGGACAAAGTTGCAGTGTAGGACTGTGGCCATCCAGAGCCAGAGAATTACACATATATCAATGATCAGGAGTTTTCCCGGAGGTCAGTATGCACATTTTTTTTTAAATTACGCAACTTATAATTTTACATCACTTTTCTACATTGATGGATCAGTGATCGCACTGGCATTCCTGACAAAAAGCTTGTGTTTGTGTATATGGAAATGTACTATCCACCCTCCCTGTTAAGTTTGATCTAATCATGTCCTGAAACACATCTCCTCTCCTGCTTTCACTTCTCATACTGATGGAGAGAGCGGTTCACTTGTGAATGAATCTCCGTTAAGAACGACTCTTTCACTAGCCGACAATAATACAAGTTTCTGGCACCGCAGCATCTCATTGTCATATTTTCTTTTGCCTTGTTTGCTGATTTTATTCAACAAAACTAGCATAAGCCGAGTGTTTAGTGCGAGTTAGTGCTACTTCGCCTTATGGTGAATGCAGTAAGTGACTGTATTATCATCAATAACATGACCTGTTTAGCACATAAGTTAAAAACATACAAAAACGTAAAAAACTAAATATTACCTATGAAATGTTCTGCTTTTGTGCTTCGTTTTCTTTGTTTGCTCATTACTACACACGTAGACAGCGCTAAAGTTCCGCTTCTTCACATAATAACACTGTCTTGTCTAGTGCGGTTGAATGACACTTGTCCTGGGAGCACTGTACAAATATGGTGGCGCTATTGATGCATTTAATTGATTCAATTTGGTCCTTTCGGTAGGACTAGCAAGGAGACTCTTAAAATGGTCGTGTTTGGTTTCCTCTCGCAACTGCCTGTTTATGCTGTCTACATATTAGACAGAACATTTTACGTAATTTACATTTTATTTGGGCAGAGTGACAGCGTGAGACAGAGCTGTACAGGGCTCAAAATTAGCTATTTTACTTGGTAGCACTTAAAAAATTTAGGAGCACCAACCAAAAATGAATGAGCACCACTGCATTGTATAATAATGAATTTATTGTATTTGACAACAATAACCAGACTGTAATGACTTACTGATATTTGCGCTAAAATTCCAAAATGAAAGTCTAATAATTTAAAAATAATGTTGATGACAATAATACTAACAATGAATTACATTTCTTATGATCATTCTGTATTAAATGTGCTTAAATGTGAGTTATCTGCTATATAAAGTCATACTGTTACATTATGAAAAATAAATCTATGGTTTGCATTCAACAAAAATGAAGCATTGCATTAAACAAATAATATTTCTGCTACAAAACAAATATAATATATAACAAATATAAAAATATAATACATTTTTCATTTCAATGCTGAAAGCTGCAAAGCAGTCATCTGTAATAAAATAGCAAAATAATATGCATGTCAGGAAAGAACGGGCAAAAGAAAGGAAGTCTCACTTCTGCCACTCTTTAAAAGTTTTGGTTTGGGTTTTTGTCATTGTAAATGCTCAGTCTCATTATGCTCTGATTTACATTTTTCTGTGTTTGTGGAAAAAAGCAGGCGAGTAATCTGACCCAATATTTAAGCAGGCAGAGCATTCCTTGACATGAGCCACAGTTTCACTTTAAACTTATTGGCGAGCTTCTTTGGCGATGATGTACTGTGTTAAATTCTACATTTAGCGGCCATTTGCGCTGAACAGACAGTGAATGCAACGCATTGAGATTCGAGCCATTAAAACAGCTGATCCACTGAGTCTTTTAGCACTTTCTCCGAAAACACTAGATTGATCTCGGCTGGCCGATCAACATTCACAGCATGATCATTCTCATCAGCGCCATTATTTGTAACTTTGGGTGGGTTTGCAAACCTGTGTACTTTTCATCGCGTCTTCCTCAAATTTCAGCCGTTTGCATTACCCGCGGTCACAGAAACTTCGCTATCTGACAGCGTAAAGCCTTGAGTGATTGACAGCTAATACGAACCAATATAGCAGCAGGGAAGACCGATTTAGCAGGTTTTTAGAAAAAAAAAAATCAACAGGTCGCACTACAACCCTTATATGCATGCGCACAAATGCTCCTAAATATATTATAAGGGCGTATAGATTACATTTTGGGCGCTTGTGTGACCAAAATGGTCACAATTTCGAGCCCTTCATGCCGTTGTATAAATAAGATATTACATACGGCTATTGAGCTGTTTAAAAGTTGTGATCTGGCTCTATAAGAAAATAAAATTAACTTGACCTCAAGGGGGGCGAGGAAAGCCGTTGGGAGGGTTATAATGAAAGGGGAAACACTGACATATCAATATTTCAGAATTTTCTGCATTCAACTATTACCAGTATTAAATTCAACAAATTCAACAAAGTTTAAAATAGTACATTTTTTTTAATTACTCTGACATTATTAATATTAAGTGAATATTAAGTGTTAATATTAAGTGAAGTTTATTTATAAACTAATTTCGAGAGGATTACATGCTTATGATTGGCCATGGCTGGTCCCACATTAGCTATCTTATGATTTTCTAATCAGACAAATCCAAACGCACATAAGTATCCAGATTTCCTTACCTTATGCCTATTTCAAAGTAGTCGTGTCACAGATGTTTTTACACTGCTTGACTTTACAATAGGAAGAATTGCCGACGACTTTGTCCAAACTACGTCTCACACATGAGAAGTGACATAGAAACAACTTGTCAAAGTCATGTGGTGTATTTTTTGTTATTAACCTCATAATCAGAAAGAAGCCTTTAGTGGGGTAGAAAATTTACTTATTTTTGCTCACCTGGGCTTTGAAGGGAATTAGCGATTTCCCCTCAACTTTTATTCTATTTCAACCCGGTTGTGGTATTGTTTAGATGACATGTCAAACAGACTCGGGTGCTCCTGCCAAATTTCCACTACGTTTTCCTCCATTTTTAGGGTCCAAATAAACTGAAAATGAGCGCTTTTAACTTCTTCCAAACCTCCTGCTGGCCTGCAGATACCCACACTAGTGGATGCAGCTCTCTCATTGGCTGTAGGTGATCTCTGATGTTATTTTTAATCAGAACACATTTCACGCGGCATGTTTCGGTTGCATGATCGGTGATTCTCACAGATCCTGGCTGGGCCGGTTGGTGGTTCTGTGTGGAGTTTACATGTTCTCCCCATGTTGGCATGGGTTTTCTCTGGGTGCTCCACTTTTCCCCACAGTCCAAACACATGCGCTTTATGTGAATTTAATAAATTAAACTAACCTTAGTGTATGAGTGTGTGTAAATGAGAGTGTATGGGTGTTTCCCAGTGCTGGATTGCAGCCGAAAGGGCTTTGTAAAACATGTGCCGGAATAGTTGTGCCTGATAAAAAAGCGACTAAGCTGAAGGAAAATGAATGAATGAATGAATTGTTAAGTACAGTAAGGACTTTCATAACACTACGTACAGTATGCTGGGATATAAATTACAAATGTGCTTTATCTGAAATGAAAGGTGCTTTAAAAAGTGCTTGAGAGTCCTGTTCATGAAAGAGTGGGAGCCCTGCTTTTAGTAGCGATTGTTTAGTAAGTGATATGATCATTAATACTTGTTTTAATTTTTTTTAATACTGTTTTAGGTTATGGGCTTGCCAATGTAATTTCAGCTTATCTGTTTTCATGTCTAATGTAATGTACTGTACATCTTATGTCCTATTTGTGCAGGTATGTGTACTGGACTGACTGGGGAGAAAGAGCGTTCATTGGTCGTGTTGGAATGGATGGAAATAACAAGTCTGCCATCATCACTACCAAGATCGAGTGGCCAAATGGTCTGACCATCGACTACACCAACGACAAACTCTACTGGTCTGATGCTCATCTCAACTACATTGAGTAAGACTCGCTCAGGCTTATATTCTGGGTGATTTAGTTAAATTCAATTTATTTACATTGATTACATTGAATCTGACAATGACTTGGTTGTTGATTTGCATTTGTCTCTTCAAGTTGTTGTTTTGATCATTTTAAAACATGAAACATTATATAAACCTTAAAGTTTTGATTATGATTTTAATGTAAAATTTTGTATGAATTATAGAGAAAATTGATAAGAATGTAATACATTTCAGCGCCAATAGCCTAGTGGTTAAGTGTGTCGACATATAGAACCGTGGTGCTCAGTGACCCGATTCTCGGCTTGAGGTCCTTTGCTGACCCTTCCCCTCTCTCTGCTCCCAATACTTTCCTGTCTGTCACCTCCACTGTCCTATCCCAATTAATGGTGAAGAAATGTAATTTAATACATTTATATTTTGTATGATATTTATATTTAAAGATGTATGTTAAGTTTATATTTATTAATTGAGTTGCATGTTTTTAAAGTTTTTATTATCACTATAGTGACAGACGGTTGGTTGATTGGTTGGTTGGTCGGTAGGTAGGTAGGTAGGTAGGTAGGTAGATAGATAGATAGGTAGGTAGGTAGGTAGGTTGGTTGGTTGGTTGGTTGGTTGGTTGGTAGGTAGGTAGGTAGGTAGGTGGGAAGGTAGGAAGGTAGGTAGGTAGATAGGTAGGTAGGTTGGTTGGTTGGTAGGTAGGTAGGTAGGAAGGTAGGTAGGTAGATAGGGAGGTAGGAAGGTAGGTTGGTTGGTTGGTTGGTTGGTTGGTTGGTAGGTAGGTAGGTAGGTAGGTAGGTAGGAAGGTAGGTAGGTAAATAGGTAAGTAGGTAGGTTGGTAGATAGGTAGGTAGGTAGGAAGGTAGGAAGGTAGGTAGGTAGGTAGATAGGTAGGTAGGTAGGTTGGTTGGTCGGTTGGTTGGTTTTAGATAAATGTTTCCCAGTACTGGGTTGCAGCTGTAAGGGCATCCGCTGCATAAAACATATGCTGGATAAGTTGGCGGCTCATTCCGCTGTGGTAACCCCAGATTAATAAAGGGACTAAGCTGAAAAGAAAATGAATGAATATATAGATATATTGTTATTATTGTAATTATTGTGTCATATATTATTATATACAAATAATAAGGCATAATTTTTCGGAGAAAATGATCTTCTGGATTCTTGATATAATCAGACAATATTTAGTGTTTGCAAATCAAAAATCTAAATAAAAAAAATGTTAATAAAAAAGTCTTCTATGTTGTGTATGGTTAAAGGGATTTTTTTTTCAAGGTAATTTTTTACAGACTTTTTATTTTTACATAATAAAATCATAATAACAAATTTTAAACTCTCTCTGTGTCCTTAGGTTCTCAGATCTGGATGGGCGTCACAGACACACAGTGTATGATGGTGTTCTGCCTCATCCGTTTGCCATCACAGTTTTCGAGGACACCCTTTACTGGACTGACTGGAACACTCGAACGGTGGAGAAGGGCAACAAATACAATGGCTCTGGACGTGAGATGCTGGTCAACACCACACACCGACCTTTCGACATCCACGTATGTCACCCTTACCGTCAGCCTATAGGTGAGTCCAGGACACAAGATCCTCAGTGCTGCTCTTAAAGTCTTGTGAAATTAAAATAAAAACATTTTAGATGTTAGTTTCAGTCTGTTCGTTTGAATGATAGCTATTAGCTAGTGTGCTCCAGATCTAATCTTGACTAATCAAATGCTCTCTAGTGCCTGAAATGCCCCGCCCCCTTTAAGACATCCACATCCACTTTGACTGGCAAAGCTGTGATAAAAATGAAACGCTATTGGCTGATTTTTGAAGGAGGAGGAGCTACTCTATGTCTCTCCCTCTCTTCATGTTTCGGTTGAGATTAAGTCAAACATCAAATTAAAAATTGCACATTTCAAAGCATTTCACCTTTAAACAGCCACAGACAAAACCATACTGTACAATACCATGCTATACCATACTGTACAATACTATACCATACTATACCATACTGTACAATATGATACCATACAATACCATACTGTACAATACCATACTATACCGTACCATACCATACCATACTGTACGATACGATACTATACTATACCATACCGTACTAATACTATACCATACCATACCATACCATACTATACTAGAATATACCGTACCGTACCTTGCCATACCATACCATACTTTACCATACTATACCATACCATACTATACCATACCACACCATACCATACCATACCATACCATACCATACCATACCATACCATTCCATACTATACCACACTGTACCATACCATATCATACCATACCATATCATACCGTACCATACTGTACAATACCAAACCATACTATACGATACCATATACCAAACCGTACCATACTATAACATACTATACCATACTTTACCATACTATACTATACCATACCATACCGTACTATACTATACTATACTATACCGTACCAAACCGTACCTTACCATACCATACGCTACCGTACCGTACCGTACCGTACTGTACCGTACCATACCATACTGTACAATACCAAACCATACTATACGATACCATATACCGTACCGTACCATACCATACCATACTATACCGTACCTTACCATACTATACTATACTATACTATACCATACCGTACCGTACTATACTATACCTTACTCTAACAAATAAAATGTAAAATAATTGAATGAAATATGTATTTACAGTCAAGTATGAAATTATTCATACCCCTGGCAAATTATGACTTTAAGTTACTTTTATTCAACCAGCAAGTTTTTTGTTTTATTTTTATTTTTGCCCTGAACTGACATTGGCTTCTCCCAAAAGATAATAAGTAAAGTTTACTTATAAACTAATTTCGAGAGGTTCGCGTGCTTATGATTGCTTGAAGCCGGTCCCTACATTATTCAATTTATGATTCACCAATCAGATGATTCCTAAGCCACTATAAATACCCTCAGTTCCATATGACAGCCATCTTCGTTTTGAAGAATCCCCCCTTACACCACTATCTCTCCTACTTTCCTAGATGGGTGGCACCTCACAGCAAGAATGTCACTGGTTCTAGTCCTTACCAAGCCAGCCGACGTTTCTGTGCGGATTTTACACGTTCTCCCCGTGCTCACGTGGGTTTCCCCCTGGTTCCCTGGTTTCCTCCCACTGCCAAAAAACATGCAACTTAAGTTAATTGACTAATCCAAATCGCCACCATAGACATGCTCCTAGTAAGCAGTTATCTCTTTATCTCTTAAGAGCTATCTGTTCTTTAGCTACTACAGCAGGGGAGTTCTCGAACTCAGGTAAAAACCCCCTGGCTGATGTGGCTAAGGCAGGGATGTCAAACCTAATTCCTGGAGGGCCGCAGCCCTGCACAGTTTAGTTCCAGCCCTGCTCCAACACACTTACCTGTTTCAAACAACCCTGAAGGACTCAATTAGTTTGATCAGGTGTGTTTAATTAGGGTTGGAACTGAACTGTGCAGGGCTGCGGCCCTCCAGGAATTGAGTTTGACATCCCTGGGTAAGGTGAACCCCTTTGAGAAGGAAACATACTGATGCTGGGAGACAGACAATAGTGCCCACTTGGCTTAGTCTGTTTATATATAATATATATATCATGATTAGCTAATGCGGGACCAGCTGTGCTAAATGACTAAATGTAAATGTAAATCATTAGCATGTGATCCTCTCAGAATTAGTTTATAAATCAATTTCACTTGAACAAAAAGTTAAAGTCAGAATTTCCCAGGGGTATAAATCATTTGGGCTTGACTGTATACACATGCTAATATGTAATTTGCCACATTTGTGATGTGCTGAAAAGTTTGAAAATACCTAGAAAGTGCTTAAAAAATGCTTAAATTTGATGCAAAAAGGTGTAAGATCCCTGAAAACTTATTTATTTTTATAATAAAACTTTTTTAAAAAAATGAAATTTTTTAAAAAATTATTTTTAATAAAAAACATATTATTATTGTTGTTATTATTAGTATAATAATAATAATAATAATAATAATAATTATTATTATTATTATTATTATTTTATTATTTTATTTATGTATTATTTTATTTATTTTTTATAATAATGATAATAATAATAATAATAATAATAATAATTATTATTATTATTATTATTATTATTATTATTATTATCATTATCATTATTATTATTATTAAACTGAGGACTAATAAAAACATCATGGATGGCAATGTGGTGAGTAAATGATCAGGACATTTTTATTCTGTAAGTGAACTAATCCTTTGAGGGTCTCTGCCAATATTTACACAGGCCGACACAATGCCGCCAGTCTGTGCTCTGCAGGAAAGACTAAACTCTTTATCATGGCTGTAATGGCCTGGACAGCACGTTTATACTCTTTATCTGCTTTAGAAAGACGAGCTACGGGTACATGATGTGGAGCCACATCCTGAGTCTGTGTAAGAGGATACAGGCCAGAGGATTCAGAGTTTACTTTGGGCAATACATCAATTCTGTACCACATTGCCTTGTCATAATAAAAGAAAAAAACTATGCTTATCATAGCATTTACAGTATATACTGCTGCTCTCTGATGATTTAAAGTGTTTCTTTTATACTCACTTATAGGTAGCTTTGGATAAAAGTGTCTGCTAAATGAGTAAATGTTCATGTAAATGTAATAGAGATATCCTGAATTGTATTCAATGTCTTCAATGAAATAATTATTCAGTTTTAACTTACTTAGCATTATTCACTAATTTAAATACATTTTAATAGTATCAAACTAGACATTTTCAAAAACTAAATATCATAAGGTATTTATATACAGTTGTAATAGGATATTTAATTAATTATTATTTGCATTATAATAATTATATATTATAATGCAAAAAATAATATCGTTAAGTCGTTTTCAAGAAACGACTAAAAACTCAACTATTTAGTCTCCACTTCACTTCCTAATCTGCAATTGCCTCTCTGGATATACCACTAACTGTACTCAAAAAAAAAAAAAATTACTAATGCTTTTCTTCTTAGACTTTACAGACCTGAAACTTGCCTATAGCACTTATTCATTGTTGCTCTTATAGTTGTGTAATTTGCTTCCTTGTCCTCATTTGTAAGTCGCTTTGGATAAAAGCGTCTGCTAAATGACTAAATGTAAATGTAAATGCATTTGTGTATTTATTTTAGTGGTTATAATAATATATAATACTAGAATTATGATTATTATTCTGTTATTTCTTTACTAAGCGACCTTAATAAATGATTTGTAAATGAATGATTTTTACTTTTTACTTATGACTATTTTGCACCAATGATTTGGTTAATAGAAAAAAAAGAAATTTGTATTTGCATTATAAATATATTATTTTAATTTTAGTTTGATTGCAATTGACATTGAATTTACTTTTGTATGAATAATAGAGAATACTTGTAAGAACTCTAAGATTCTAAAAAAATATATAGTTGAAGGTAGAATTATTAGCCCCCTGTTTATTTTTTCCCCGATTTTTGTTTATATATATTTATTTGTTTATAGATATTTTTATATATATATATATATATATATATATATATATATATATATATATATATATATATATACAGTATATCTGATTCCTCTATGCAATTCCATGCAAACGTCAAAGTTACCATGAAAAAAAAAGAGTTTTCACCAAAATAGAGAAACTGTTTCTACAATTTTTGTGTAAGCAAGAATTTTTACAGTGCTTTAAAAATGCTCAAAAATGTGTCTGTCAGTGTTTTCAAACTTTTTTATTTGATTTACCAAAGTCACACAAGTAGTAATTTCACAGCTGTCATATCCATAAACCAAAAGTGTCATACCATAACTTAATTAAAAATGACATGTTTTCTTTTAGTTGACATGTTTTCTTTTAGTTTAGTTTTCAGTTTAGTTTGAAAACAATGTAAAACATTTCTAAGAAGAAAAAAATGTCAAATATAATAAGTTTCTTAATTTCAATTGGGTGTGCAGGCTTTTTTATTTCTAAAATATAATTTAACTATTAAAATTAATTACTAAAAAAAACTGAATTCCAGAAAAAATAAACAATTTGAAGGAAATAAACCATTAAACTAACAATAAAAGTAAACAATTTAATAGGGCGCAATCAAAACCTGGTGAGCTGCTAAAAAGTCTATTGTTGTTTTTCAAACAATGACAATTAAAGTCTTGTATTTCCCCTGCAGTGACGAACCCTTGTGCACTTAATAATGGAGGCTGTTCTCACCTGTGTCTCCTGCGGGCTGGAGGTCAGGGGTACACCTGCGAGTGTCCGGATCACTTCCTGACGGTGCAGATCGCCGGTGTTGCGCGCTGTTTACCCATGTGCTCAAGCACACAGTACAGATGCGCAGACAATGAACGGTCAGTGTCTCTGTCTGTCATTCACCCATTTTATATACAGTTGGAGAATTGAGTCAGAATTATTAGTCCTCCTGTATATTTCTTTTACCAATTTTTATTTAACAGAAATATTTTTTTCAACACATTTTTAAACATAATAGTTTTATTAAAGAGTTTCTAATAGCTGATTTCTTTAATCTTTGCCATGATGACAGTACATATTTGACTAGATACTTTTTTTAAGATGCCAGTATTCAGCTTAAAGTGACATTTAAAGGCTTAATGAGGTTAATTAGGCAAGTCAGGGTAATAGACCCTTTTCACAATGACGTCACTTCACTTTCCCCTATTGGTATTTTTAGTTCATGTTTACATTTGAGTGAATAGGAGACTTCTGTAGAAAATTTACACATGTAAAGTGTCCAAATGTTTCTCTTTCAATATTAAACTGCTTTCTGAGTTTGAAAATGATTTTTTTAGGTTATTAAAAGTAGGAATAAGCTATTGTTGATCAAGGAACGTATATGTTTGCAACCTTTTCACTTATCATTTCCTCAATGATGGATTTATTGTTATTTTGATGCTGCTACGAATATAAATTTAGATTATCTGTTTGTAACGGAGGCCAGCTAGTGAAGTGCTATGTAGGTAAACCTCACTCCTCTGACCTCTAAATGTGCTCTAGCGACAGATACTAGATGCCATGGTCTTTAGCCTCCTTGTTAGAGCAACCGACTCCCATACAAAGAATCGCCGGTTCGATCCCAGCTCAGAGCGGGTTGGGTGCTGCAGGACCGGTGGGTTACATGTTATATGTGAATGTTACAGCATGAGTAAAATTCTTTATTTAACCGTTCATATTACCCGTTAAGTATGTCTATAAATGTATATAAATGCAATGAGCTTCATCTCTTTTTATTTATTGATCCATTAATGTTTTATTCAGTCTCTCCATTTAAATGAATCAAGACGGTGTCCCGCCACCACCTACTGAGTGGATTTAATTTTATATTAGTACTACCTTTTAATTAATAATGTTACATATCAATTCATAAAATAATAATACAGAGTTAAAATGCTGTCGTCGTCTTGTTATTTTTGCAATTGTAATTTTTTATAAGGATTGTGTTGTGATTAGTAAGAGTCACATACAACATTGTTATTCTATTTCATTTAATTTGAATATTAAATAGACATAAATGTTTTATATTCATGAATAAAATACCTATATAGAAATAATGTCAGAGAATACCGAGTTAACTGAGCAGTACACTCTCAGAAATAAAGGTACAGGAGCTGTCACTGGGGCGGTAGCTTTTGAAAAGATACATATTTGTTCCCAAAGAGTCCACAGTGGTACCTCAAAGGTGCATATTAGTGCCCAAATGTACCTAAAAAGTACATTTGAGGTGCCATTATGGACTCTTCAAGTACAAATATGTACCTTTTGAAGAGGTACTGCCCCAGTGACAGCTCCTGTTCCTTTATTTCTGAGAGTGTAGAATGGGAACAATATGAATGTGAATCAGCTGCCCACTGTAAACAACCACAGTAAAACACCCAGTTTTATTTATTACTCATTTTTCGGGACATACACACACACAAAATTCATTCATTTTCTTGTCAGCTTAGTCCCTTTATTAATCCGGGGTCGCCACAGCGGAATGAACCGCCAACTTATCCAGCAAGTTTTTACGCTGCAGATGCCCTTCCAGCCGCAATCCATCTCTGGGAAACATCCACACACACATTCACACACACACTCATACACTACAGACAATAACCTGTACAGCATGTCTTTGGACTGTGGGAGAAACCGGAGCACCCGGAGGAAACCCACGCGAAGGCAGGGAGAAAATGCAAACTCCACACAGAAACGCCAACTGAGCCGAGGCTCGAACCAGCGACCTTCTTGTTGTGAGGCGACAACACTACCTACTGTAACACTGCTTCGCCACACACAAAATTACTTTAAAAAAAACTGTTCAGCACCCATGTAAACATCTGAAATCTTGATTTTACAAATACTGACAAACTTTGTCTGCAATAAAGACAGCAGCACATTGCAATAGATGGTTGCAATAGATGGTTCAAGCTGAAATCTGGATGATCTGTACATTTGTTTAAATGTCAGACGTCTCGCCTTGAATGCAGAGACAAGAAAAAACAGCCATAGTCACAGACTGACCGAATCTGTAGTAAATATACAGCTGACTGTGTGAGTTCTCTATGGGGAGTTCTGTGTAGGCACGGACACCGCGTGACGTCATGTGAAAAGGATCTATTAGGAAAATCATTGTATAACGATGGTTTTTTCTGTAAACAATCAGAAAAAAATATATATTGCTTCGAAATAAAACAAATAAGACTTTCTCCAGAAGAAAAAATATTATCAGACATACTGTGAAAATTGCCTTGCTCTGTTAAACATCATTTGGGAAATATTTGAGTTAAAAAAATTATAATTCGTGAAAAAATATTCACAAGATGGCGAATAACTCTGACTTCAACTGTATGTCTGAATCCTTGAGTAATGGAGCATCCTAACATTATTTCTCACTCCATGCAGTTGTATCCCGATCTGGTGGAAGTGTGACGGTCAGCGGGACTGTAGAGACGGGTCAGATGAACCCTCCACGTGTCCCGTCCGGCACTGCAGGCTCGGTCAGTTCCAGTGTAATGATGGAAACTGCACCAGTCCACACTTCCTCTGCAACTCCAATCAGGACTGTCCCGACGGCTCCGATGAGGACACTGTGCTCTGTGGTACGGAACAATATAATGATATATAATTTTCCACAAATTGATGTGATTTATCGTCTTTAAAGTGAACAATCAGTGAATCGTTTCTTAATTAATCGTTAATATGTATAATCCAACATATTTACACTCAAAACACAAGCATCCCCATCCATAGTAATGAAAAGCTAGTGGATTTTGTAAAAAAAAAAAAAATCATTTTAAATGAACCATTATACAGGCTCCCACGGATTTTAGTTTTTTTGGTAACACTTTAGAATAAATATACATTATAACTAGTCAATAGATCATTAACAAACTGTTAGTTAATGGGTTATAAATGGCTTGTAAACTGCATTTTAATGATTTATAACTATACCTAATAAATTAGTAATAGATCATGAACAAGCTGTTAGTAAATTACTCACTAAAGACTTGTTAAGTATTAGTTAGGGTTAAGGTTATAACCCATTAACTAACAGTTAATTAATGGTCTATTAACTGGTTATAATGGATAGTTATAAATAATTAACAAACTATTAACTATTATTTAACAAGTCATTTATAACCCATTAACTAACAGTTTATTAATGTACTATTAACTAGTTATAACTGATAGTTATTCTAAAGTGTTAGCCTTTTTTTATGTTTGTGGCCTAAAATGACATTTTGTGATATCTTCTCTTAAAACATATGGCATTAATTGCTTAAATTCTTGTGCTTTGCTGTGAAAATACACATAAGTTCTTTTCTGATCTAACTTCGAGAGGATCACATGCTTATGATTGATCACAGCTGGTCCCTCATTAGCCTATTATGATTTACCAGTTTCTTCAGTTATCTTTGCCTTGAAGAATCCCCCCTTCCACCCTTATTTCTCCTCCTTTCCCTTAACAGGGTGGCACGGCGGCCCAGTGGTTAGCACTGTTGCCTCACAGCAAGAATGTCACTAGTTCAAATTCTCACCAGACTAGTTGACATTTCTATGCAGAGTTCACATGTTTTCCCCGTGCTTGCTTAGGTTTCCCCCGTATTCTCTGGTTTCCTCCCACAGTACAAAGACTTGAATTATAGATAAATTGACCAATCCAAATTGTCACTATAGTTGAGCTCTTATCCAGCAGTATATCTCTACATAGCAATCGCAAATTTGTCATTAGCCCTAAATAACTGGGGGGGTTCTCGAGACTTACCTGAGCTGAAACTCCCCTCTCGCCCTGCAAACAGGAGGGAGCCCAGGGCTTGAGGATCTTATGAGCTCAGGGCTCTCTCCCGGATCAGCATGTCAAACGCGCTTTATTATCAATCGTCAGCTAAGTTTGAACTCTTCAAATATTTTACCTGGAGGAACAGATTGTTATTCATTGTAAATTTATTTAGATTTTTTTTATTTAATATTTATTTACATTTTATTTTAAACAGTTCATATTTTACAACATTTTTATTTACATTTTATTTTTGTTTTCAGTAAGTGTTTTTTTTTTTTCAAAATATTTTAATACTGTATACTTTTTAATTGTCTTTATTTCATTTACATTTGTACAACATAAGCTCATTCTGAAATTGTAGCCCTAAATACATTTCTGGTGATCGGGGTGGTATGATGCCGTTTCTTTTTCACGCTTTCCAGCTGACCGCTTACCTTCGTATGGACGGCTTTTCAGCTGTCAACAGTTTATCCAGTAGCCTGTCTTGTACGTCGGCAGACTTAAGACGCAGAGAGGAGCTGACCATGATGACCGGGAAAGAACGGTTCCAGAAAGCAGATAAGACAAAAATAAAAGCCAAAAAAATAAAATAAACAAGTAAATAACAGGGTGAGAATGTGGTAAAATCGGAAAACGTGGTAAAAATCAGGCAGCTTTTCTTTGTCTGGATTGCTTTTGAAAACTGTTGGTTGGATTTAGGGAAGTGGGTGGGTGCTGGTTAATCGGTGCTTTTGAAAACACTATTGATTGGTTTTAGGAAAGGAGGAGGGTAGGCTAGTCGATCAGTCAGTCGGTTAGTCATTCAGTTGACAATGGTCTCTGGTGAATGGCACTTGCAAGAAAAGTTTGAGATCTGAAACAGCGTACACCTCTGGTAGATTTTGTGAAAACTGCAAAAAACGTAGCTCCTGGGACGTATTTGCCACTCTCCAGAAATGTATATAGCAGTATGTTTTTAGAATGAGCCTGGGTTGCATTTGTAAGTATTATATTACATTTAGTTGCCAAAGCAATAATCCTAAAAAAATTTAAATACTTTTAAACATATTTTTTTACTTTTTAAGTTTTATTTATTTTATTTTTTTATTTCTATTTTTTATTTTATTTATGATTTTTTCATTTTTTAACGAAACGACCCATTTCCCAACAAATTAACCCTTTACAGAATAAAAAAATAAATAAAAAAAATAAAATACAAAATTAATAAATGAAGAGTACTGCCATTATTAATAATTTTTAGGGGATACATTTCTACATCAAATTACATTGGTGATAGGTTAATTAGCCACTAAATGTACATATCTAAATATCTTGTAATACTTTTCCACCTCTTCAGAAAAATTTCGGCTTTATTTTATTCATTCATGAATTTATTCATTCATTTTTATTTCGGCTTAATCCCTTTATTAATCTGGGGTCGCCACAACGAAATGAACCGCCAACTTATCCAGCATATGTTTTACGCAGCGGATGCCCTTCCAGCTGCAACCCATCACTGAGAAACATCCATACACTCTCATTCACACACATACACTACGGACAATTTAGCTTACCCAATTCACCTAGAGCGCATGTTTTTTTACTGTGGCGGAAATTCGGAGGAAACCCACACAAACACGGAGAAAACATGTGAACTCCTCACAGTAACACCATCTGACCCAGCTGAGGCTCAAACCAGAGACCTTCTTTCTTTGAGGTGATCGTGCTACCCACTGCGCCACTGTGCAGCTGGCTATATTTCATTTTTTAACAAAATTTTTTCCTTACAAGCTGCTAATTTCAGCTTATTTTTTGTTTTAATTGTAGTTAAGGATGACAACACTGAGCTGTCTATTTCTCAGCAGTGATGTAGTGTTTATGAGTTTTTCTTGTCCTGTCAGCCACTCATCAGTGTGAGTCTCATCAGTGGCAATGTGCCAACAAGCGCTGCATCTCTGAGGCCTGGCAGTGTGATGGAGAGAACGACTGCGGCGACGGCTCCGATGAAGATCCCGCTCACTGCTCCAGCCGCACCTGCAGACCAGGACAGTTCAAGTGCAGGAACGGACGCTGCATCCCCAATACCTGGAAGTGTGACGTGGATGACGACTGTGGAGACAACTCTGACGAACCCATCGAAGAGTGCAGTGAGTTCACCACTCCTCACTAATCACTAACTCAGGCTCATTGGGAATACAGTTGAAGTCTTTTTTTTTAGACTTTTGATGTAGACTTTTTTAGAACCAAATGATGTTTAACAGAACAAGGAAATTTTCACAGTATGTTTGATAATATGTTTTCTTCTGGATAAAGTCTTATTTGTTTTATTTCAGCTAGAATAAAAACAGTTTTTAATTTTTTAAAAACATTTTAAGGTCAATATTATGAACCCCCTAAAGCATTTTTTTGTGGATTGTTGTTTTTGTTGATTTTTGTGGATTGTCTACAGAACAAACCATCATTATACAATGATTTGTCTAATTATCTTAACTTGCCTAATTAACCTAGTTTAGCTTTTAGAGGTCACTTTGAGCTGAATTATTAAAGTTATAAGAAATGAGTTATTAAAACTATTATGTTTAGAAATGTGTTGAAAAAGATCTTCTTTCCATTAAACAGAAATTGTGGAAAAAATATACAGGGGGCGAATAATTCAAGAGGGCTAATGATTCTGACTGTATGTTTTTGTGAACCATGCAATATGTTGCTCCAACAATGTTTAATTGCAGCTTGTGTTCAGAAATCTACCAGAGGCCACATTTTTGAGAATATAAGTCTAACCTGTAGTCCATGTTACCATGTTCTGCATTTTTTTATCACCTTGCAATCGACTCATCCGCACCCTTCCCTAAAGCCATCCAATGGTGTATTCATAAACAAACTTAAAGAGAAAAGCACATTGAAGCCATGTGCTTTTACCATGATTTCACATTGTTTTGAAAATTTTTATCTGGTTTTTGGACTCAAACCCAGTCCATTCAACGTCCCAAGTATAACTTCGTACAAGGTGAGCTACCGAGCAAACTGACCGTGCTAGAAAAGCCATCCTTAGGGGCAGATCACACCGAACACGCTTTATGCTTTAAGAGAAGCCTTTTTTGAATGGTTTACTAATGGCTGTGAGCGTTTTGCGCGCTGCTTATGCGGCCTGTGTGCCTCGCGCTTTTGCCCTTGCACGCCGTGCGCACTCAGTTAAATAAAAGTCAACTGTGAGCAGATAAAGCGCAGTACATCAGTCGCATCTGTTTTATTCTCCAATCATATGAAAGTAGAGGCAGGGTTTCCATTGAGATGCAAGCAGTGTTTATGTTGTCAAGACAACAAGTGAGACTTTTGAAGATGGAGGAGAGACTTAAGGGCATCACACACCGGATGCGCGACACAGCACGCACATGACAGTTGAAAGTATCGCACACCAGATGTGCACATTCGCATGATATTTAAAATGAAACTAATCAGATGGCGCTCTGTGGCGCAGCAGAAATATGAACAGTGTCCTGAGTCGTGGCTGGGCGCCACGGACAGCCGCCGACTTGCAACGCCGGTGTGTGTACCCTGATAGAAACCTAATGTTTAGAATTCTTAAGTGCATGGCATTCTGGTGTGCGACCTGCTTTATGGTTGCTGTTCTGAGTTATCCAGAGCTGTAGGACTTCACAAATCTTGAATACCACAATATTATTTGATATTAAAGTTAAACTAATATCAACAGCAAGACTCTCGCAAAAACCCAGCTGATTCATTCATTGCCTTGCGAATTAAATTACAGACATTTAATTTTGTTTTTTGGAGTATTTATCCGGTATCAATAATATGTCCCTGTAAATGTTTGAGATTGTAAACAAAAGTTATTGGCATCATTTTACCCAGAAACGGCATGCAAATGTATGCCAAGACACATATTGGCAGTTTCCCAATAAAGTAGCCCTGGGCACATATTCCCAATGAGTCTGTGTTGCTAATCACTCTCAGTTAGAGAAGGAAGACATAGGTTTGCAGTATGAAGTTGTACTGTATGTTGATTTCAGGGTGACTTTAAGTGTAATGCAGTATTTTTCTCTGTTGTTTGCAGTGGGTCCGGCGTACAGATGTGACAATCACACAGAGTTTGACTGCAGGACGAACTACCGCTGTGTTCCTCTGTGGGCCGTGTGTAATGGACACAACGACTGCAGAGACAACAGTGATGAACAGAACTGCGGTGAGCAATGTTGGGGAGGTTTACTTTAAAAAAAAAAAAGTTATAGTAAAAAAGTAAAAGTAATAGTTACTTTTTTGCTGGAGTTACTTTTGATGGAAAGTAATGCGTTACATTCCTCTTGAGATACTTTCGCAACACTGGTCGTGAGACTTCACACATTGCCCTTATTCCCAACAACCAGTGCATATGAAAATGAATATATTCATGAATAAAACATATATGGGTCATTCTTCAACTATGGGCACTTTTAGCCTTGTGAAGTTTTTGTCTAGTTTTAAGATTTTGAAGAAGAAACATTTTTTTTCCATCTTGAATTGAATAAATGTCAATTCCACCACATCTCAATATACAGCTTATTTCAAAATGAAATAAATTATGGCAGTCAAACATTGTCTAAGATCATGTTTGTATCTAGTTTAACCAATTTTTCCACATTATATATAATAATTATACATTTGTCAATGAATTAAACTAATTGTATGCTGAATTGTACACCTGTCACACTCAAAAATTGTATATTAATTTGGTTAAGAGCTTATTAGAAAATAGATAAATTGAGTTTGTATATTAAACTTATTAAACTTGAACTTATACATTGTGAATACACTTTTAATGTGTGATGAGAACGTTTTAAATATTTTTTAAATGTGTGTGGTGATGGACAGGGCTTAACAATAACTTTTTTGATCACCAGCCACTGTGGCTAGTAGATTTCTAACATTACTAGCCACTCGCCATTTTCACTAGCCACAATTTTATTGTTGGGAAAATATATTTTATATACACAAATATGACTTTGACATGCTAAAATTATTTGATTTAGAGTTTGCGTTATCTCTTCATGCCTCCTCACTCATTTCACTTTTTGTGTGTCGTGTATGAGCTAGCTCAATAATCCTGAACAAATGGGTCAGAGTTTCATATATTACAATTAGTTTTCATAATTTTCAGAGCCCAAAATGGAAGGATTTACCAATTTATCTCTGACCACACCATAAATAAACAGTTAATTATTTCTTAGCATCAAATTTGAAATGTGTGAAAACATGCAAAATATAGCTGAATACTATACTTTTTATTAACAAAACATATGCACAGTCATATGTCCTGGCTAAAGGTCCCAGATCACCAGTTAACTTCACATAAATGGAGAGTTATTCTCCCATTAAAGCAATGTTATTGTAAAAAATTATAATTAAACAATATTAATGCAAAAGAAAGCAGGTAAAAACATACTGTGTGATAATGAAAGGATGATCACACACGCGTGGTTAATGATTGACCCATAAATTATTTTTTCAAAGAATGGTTAAACTGAAAGCAACTGGCGCTGCTTACAATAAGTCAACTCTGGAACTCTTGAAAGCAGCAAGACAGTATGTGCGTGTTCCTCCCTTTTTGTTCAGTCTATTTGAAAGAGAATCGATCACATCAGTTGTGTTTCTAGAAAAAGTTGCTTCACAAAAGGAAACGGGAGCGCACACGCGTTATAAACAGTAGCGCATCACCTCAGCTGTTTGCGCGAGTGATTATCCTTTCATTCGGTATTCACCTGCTTTGCTCGTGCGAAGTTGCGAATGCAATTATTTTTTGTCCGTCGTGTTGCTTCTCGATTGCCTGTGCATGCATATTGGACCATCCTTATTGTCGAACCCTGCTTTTAAGAATTATTATCTGGGAAAATTATTTTCAACCAGCCTAAGTGGCTAGTGGGAGTGTCTGTCTCACCCACCACCGCCGAAATCTACCCACAATTGGCGGGTTGGCGGGTGTTAATGTAAAGCCCTGGGGCCTCATGTACGAAGACTTGCGTGGAAATCATACTAAAACATTGCGTACGCAAAAAATTCAGATGTATGAAACACTGCGTACGCCGAATCTCACGCATATTCTTTTGTACATCCTAATGAATGTGAAACTGAGCGCAACATGCACGAGCACAAAACCCCTCCCTGCCTACTCCCCCGTATGAATATGCAAATGACTCTACTTTGGCAAAACCCAACGAAAAAGCAATGGCAAAAGCAAACAAAAATAGAAACTTTGAACATAATGTGAATTGGAGGTGCTGCTTTCTGAGGTAGACCGGAGAAAAGCGGTGTTATTTGCAAGTTTGTTTTCCGGAATTAACAACAAAAGAAAAAAATAGAGTGGGAGAGATTAGCTGATGCGGTTAACACAGTTGGGTCTGAACATCGCACTGAGTGAATTAAAAAAGAAATAGTGTGGTTTACAGGTGTAAAATGTTGCAGTACCCATATCAGTCTCAGTGGCGTAGCTCGTAAAACGCATGTCAACATGTTTTGACACGTTCGAGCATGAACTCGGTTCTAATCCAGTGTCTGATGAACTCTTTTTTCTTTTTCCCCCCGCTACATATCAGATTTTGCCTACTATTTATCACGAGAAAGACAAGTAGGAATTATTAATAAGTCTGTGCATCATATTTTATTTGCACATTTATTGAATGGAAATGTTTCTGATTCATGTATGCAAATTCATCTTCAGAGTGTCTTTATAGCAATGTGTGTGCAGTAGACCACTCAGATTACATTGGGAAAACAGGCGACCGCTGCAAATTGTGCTTTAATGTTTAGCTGGTCAACTGTATGGTATGGAAACCTTATATACCTGCTAGATGAACCCGTCTCATACAGCTGCCATTGCAAGGCTCAGACACTTTGTAGAGAGGAATTTAACACAACTGCCTCTAGGAGTCGCCAATGGAAACAAAACAGACACACACAAAAAATGTGCGTACGCCAGCCATAAAGCTGGCGTGGAGCTGCGCACATTCCCACTTTCAGTTCATCGTTAGTAAATCCAAACGTGAGCGATTTTGAGCGTGAAACCTGGCGTACGCAAAGTTTTTGTGCGTACGCAGCGTTAATACATGAGGCCCCTGGTGATGGAAATGACAGTGGTGGAAATGACATTTAAACAGTTTATTGTGAAAAAATGAAAAATAGTTTTACAGATTAGCTTTGAATTGATACTAGCCTTTCATGTATACAAAACACTCTTATTGACCTTAATTTTGTTTGGCTTTTAAAAGTGTTACCAATATTTTTTTATGCCAAATTTACAGATTTAGTTTCACAGCCGTCTGTGTTGTCAGGGATTTGACTGATGTACATGTAAACACACACACACGCACGCTCTCACACACAGAGACAGACAGTCGAGGTTCTCTGGTTCTCTTATCAGCTCCTTCTCGCTCCATTAGTGCCATCCTGCACAGAGAGGAGAAAGAGGAGAGATCGCTGTAATCGGACTGTAAGAATGTGCCGAGGGGTCAGGTGGATTTACCTCCTCTTCCTTCTTTACTTCTGTGTGCCATAATGTGCATACTTTTCTGCCCCATTACCCCGTATACATGCTCTAATTTTCTCCATTTATCTTCTTTTACATGAATGTCTTTAGTCTTATATCAGACACATCTTAGTTGTGTCTGTTTTTCCGCTTCAGCTATTTAGTGTAAACTATTTCACTCTAGAAATGAAATCTCTTTAATCATTTAATCACCGTTCACTTGTTCAAAACTATTTTGGTTTAACCCTTGTGCGCTGTTGGGGATGTGTTCATCCACTCTAGGGTGCATTTCCGAAAACCATCGTTAGCCAACTAATACCGAATTCAGACTGCATGATTTTAGCCCCGATTTTGACCTGCCGACAGGTTTTGAGAAATCACCGACAAATGCCTGAAATCACAGGCAAATCGGTGCTCGTGCACGTGAGTAACAGTCACACCGTGTGAACTATCAAAGACCCTTTCTTTATGGTGGTGGCTGTTTTTGCCCCATTGACTTCCATTATAATGACATTTTTTTGATTGCAAAGCCTTGACAGCATATTATTTATTATGCATTCCTTATAGCTGGTGGTGTTTTTTTCCATTTGAGAGGTATAAATATATTAAAAATGTGCTGTTTTACTTTATAGAACTCCATATGCAGTAAAAGGGTGTAATGTAATATGTGTATTTATATAGCACATTTATCATGTATGGCTATACATCCAAAGTGCTCCACAGTCATGAAGGGGGTCTTTCCACATCCCCACCCATGTGCAGCATCCACTTGGATGATACGACAGCAGCCACTGGACAACGGCGCCAGTGCGCTCACCACAGACCAGCTATAGGTGAAGTGGAGAGACAGTGATAGAGCCAATTCAGAGGATGGGAATGATTGGGAGGCTATAATGGGTAAGGGCTGATAGAGGGAATTGGACTAGGACACTGGGGTTACCCCCTACTACTCTTTACAAGAGGTGCCATGACCACAGAGAGTCCTTGGTTTAACGTCTCATCAGAAAGACGGCACTCACTGACAGTATAGTGCAGGGCCGGAGTTGGACTCCTTTTCAGCCATGGAGTTTCAAGCCTCAGAGCGGCCCACCTCAGTTCACGACTGACTATATTAAAATAAGGTCATTTCCAATTCAGTTTCTAATGACACTATCACGCCTTTTTTTTTTTTGAGAAAACAGCCGTTTTAGAACTTCAAATGTTCAACAACCCTAACAGTATTATATTTCTTAACAATAAAAATGAAAAAAATAAAATAAAATTGCTCAGACAAGGATCAAACCCAGGTCAGTGGTGTCGTAAACTAATGTGCTAACCACTGGACCACAACAATTGTACATTCAACAGTGACTCATCCGAGTCCTACTCATCCTGGGCTACGAAAAAATAGATAAAAAGAGCAGAACTGCGGTAAAATAATGAATAAGAAGACTGTGGTCAAGTAAATAAATTAATTTAAAAAGTGTAACTGCTAAGAGCTACAGATTCTGGAGCTAGGGACACCGGCCCACCGGGAATTCTCCCAGTCCTCCCGATTAGCCAATCCGGGCCTGGTATAGTGTCCCCTTCAGTATACTGAGGTATCAGGACTCAGTCAGACCACATATTGAGTGCCTCCTGCTGGCCTCACTAACACCACTTCCAACAGCAACCTAGTTTTTCCATTTGGTCTCCCATCCAGGTACTGACCAGCCTCAGTCCTGCTTAGCTTTAGTGAGTAACCTGTCAACAGTAAAAATAACCAATTTTGCTTCCCAACAGGGTAAAGCAGCAACAATCAAGAATGCATTATCACTTTGCAATCAAAAAATGTGGTTATAATGGGGCAAAAACAGCCACGAACATAACGAAAGAGTAGACAATTTGAACAACACACAAGGGTTAATATGGCGGCATATCAATGCCAATATTAATCGAGCGCAGCGGTGATGTTTGCGCGTGAGGAGAAGTGAACCGTGAGCAGATTACAGGTCTACACGGGAGAAAACTACAGCTCGCGAGCGCACAGGGGATCTTCACGCGCGCGCTCAACTGATCCAGCGCGAGAAAACAAGTCCCGCGGGCGCACATCATCATCTGAGCGCACGATGTACGCTCTCGCGAGCGAGGTCATGCCTACAGCGCGCGCGCGATCAGTTCTCTCCGCTCGCTCGCTGGTTCTTCTCTCTGCTCGCGCGAAACATTTCGGATTTTTGCCAGTCCTGGGGCGGGACTTGGTTTACTTGTTATCTCTAACGCTATTGGCTACTCTTCCTTTCCGGAAGTTAGCCGGGATTGGACGCAGGTAAGCTAGTTTCCCCGTTAAAAAAAAATATATAGGATATCTTATCATAATGTCACAATGTGAAACTACCATAGGTTAAATACGTTTTTTTTAAAGCATGCTTGTTGATGGTACCCATTGACTTCCATAGTATTTTTTTCCTACTATGGAAGTCAATTGGTGCCATCAACAAATATTTTTTTTTTCTAAATGACTTATTTTGTGTAAAGGTAAATGATCAAGTAATTTTTATTTTTGGGTGAACTGTGACATTAATGTTGTGTTTTGTGCTTTCAGAGGAGTTGACGTGTGAGCCGTCAGGGGATTTTCGCTGTGATAACCACCAGTGTATCCCGCTGCGCTGGCGCTGTGACGGAGACAACGACTGCGGCGACGGTTCAGACGAGCTCAACTGCTGTAAGTAGTAGACCTGCTGTAATGAGCAAAATGTGTGAGCAAAATATAAACCAGAACATGTCTTGAGTTAACTGCACCATCAAGTCTATTATAATGCAGTTAGAATGACAGTTGAAATGATTGGCCCTCCAGTGATTTGTTTTCCCAATATTTCCCAAATGATCTTTAACAGAGCAAGGAATTTTTCAAAGTATTCCCTATATTTTTTTCTTCTGGAGAAAGTCTTATTTGTTTTATTTCGGCTAGAATAAAAGCAGTTTTAAATTTTTTAAAAGCCATTTTTAAGACAAAATTATTAGCCCCTTTAAGCTATATCTTTTTCCTGATTGTCTACAGAACAAACTATCATTATACAACGACTTCCCTAATTAAACTAACTCACCTAATTAACCTAGTTAAACCTTTAAATGTCACTTTAAGCTGAATACTAGCATCTTGAAAAATATCTAGCCAAATATTATGTGCTTTCATCACGGCAAAAATAAAATGCATGTTATCAGAAATAAGTTATGTTAGAAATTGTAATATTTATATCAAATAATAGCCAAAAATCACTAGAATAGTGTTTGCTGACTTTTATACTTATATAATCCCCATTGTTTTGAAGAATGTTCAAATCTAAAGAAATAAGCAATTTTAAGGAGCGAGATGGAGCGTGTGCTGTGTGTTCATGCTGATGTCATTACACACCGTCGATTTATATAAAATAGGGAAACAGCAAAGGCACTTTAATATGTTGTGTGTTTTATTAGACTGCACAGAGCAGCAATATAAGAGAAGGCAAAAATGTAATAATTATGATAAAGCATCGCTGCTTTTCCTTCACGTGATCATGAGCTGTAGAACTGGAATCGGTGGACTGTTGCATAATAAAAGCTCTGCTACTTTTGTGCCACATCACACTTGTCTCTCATCAGCAATTGCTTTAGTGGCTTTCAGCCTCATTCTGCTTCATACTACTATGATAGTAAGTGTTAACTTATTACCTGTAGGATGTAATGAAGACCACAACTCCCATGATTCCACACTGTTATCAAACCACGCCTTTGTTTGTTGTAAATGCACGCCCTCTAGTGGTGAAAATTACATACTTCAACATTACATTCCTTTAAAGCAAACAATATTGCAGTTTAGGTTTTTGTTTTAGATATTTTTGTTATATAATATATAGCTTGGTAATGGACAAACAAGGGGGCTCTTTTCTGAATATCATTGCATGAGTGTGACATTTATTTTATACAACAGTTCAACAAATAAGAAGTTTATGTTAAGCTAGATACATTTCAAACATACATTTCTGCCAATAAAATAGTGCCAAATAAAGCCGGAGCTGAACATTTGGATTTTTTAGATCAACACGGTGGTTATCATTCCCAAATGGATCTGTTTTTGAATCAATCATTTGAGTCAGTGATTCAGTGATCCATTCATAACCCAGTCTCTTAATTTGTTTCTAAATTAATCAGCTGTTTTGAACAAATAATTTAAATCAGTTATTCAGTGAATTGCTTATTAAGATTTGCCGCCACTTTATAAATTCATACATTTGTTTTCATATTTCTTCAGAAAACCAAAGTCAGTCTTTCTAGATTTAAGAATGGGTAGATTAATGGTTAAAGATGAAAGTATTGGTAAAACTAGGCATAACCGAATTATAAGAGATCAGTATATGGAAATAAGCATACCACGAGCCTTAAAAACTTGTTTCCTCATTCTCATGTAAAATCCATCAGTGTAAAACCGTGGTCAAAGGGCCAATCAGAAAGCAAAACAGACTGTTACGTGACTCATTTGCATGTACTTTAGATCAGGTTCTGTGTCATCCGAACCTGACAAGCAGCTAGTGCATCTGGGGCCTCATGTACGAAGAAAATTCAGATGTATGAAACACCGCGTACGCGGGATCCCTTGCATAATCTCTTTGTACATCCAACTTAACGCAAAACTCAGCGCACATGCACGAGCGCAAAACCCCTTCCTGCCTCCTCCCCCTAATAAATATGGTAATGAGTCTACTTTGGCAAAACCAAACGATAAAGCAATGGCAAAAGCAAGCAAAAAAAGAAACTTTGAACAGAATGTGAATTAGAGGTGCTCCTATCGGAGGTAGACTGGAGAAAAACGGTGTTATTTGTTTGTTTGTCCACCGGAATTGATAACAAAAGAAAATAAAAATAGAGTGGGAGAGATTAGCTGACACGGTTAACGCAGTGGGGTCTGAACATTGCACGGAGTGAATTACAAAAGAAATGGTCTGATGTAAAGGTGTAAAATTTAGTAGCGTCTATTTAGGCTAAGCGCAAATAGCACAGCTGGTTGGAATGAGCTAGTCGAGTGATTCCCACCCATCACCGTTTGATTGATAAAGACAACATAACTAAAGAGAGCGGCAAACAGCAGCGTGAGTAGCGTAGCTCGTAAAGCGCATGGCAACTTGTTTTGACACGATCAATCATGAACCCGGTTCCAATCCAGCGTCTGATGAACTCATCCTTCTTTTTTTTCCCACTACATATCAGATTTTGCCTACTCTTCATCATGAGAAAGACAAGTAGGAATCATTAATAATTGTGTGTATTATGTTAAGCGCATTTGAGCATCACATTATTTGCACATTTATTAAATGGAAATTTTTCTGGTTCACATATGAAAATTCGTCTTCAGATGATGCCTTTATAGCAAAGTGCTTGCTGTAGATCGCTTCGATTACATTGGCAAAACTGGCGATCGCTACAAACTGCGCTTTAATGTTTGGCTGGTCAACTACATGGTATGGAAACCTTATATACCTGCTAGACATGCTGATGATCCTGTCCCATACAGCTGGCATTGCAGGGCTCAAAGATACTTTGTAGTGTGCAATTGAACATAGTTACCTCTAGGACTGGCCAATAGAAATAAAACAAACACACACACAAGAAATTCATATACGCCAGACATGAAGTTGGCGTGGACCAACGCACATTCTCACGTTCATTTCATCGTTAGTAAATCCAAACGTGAGCGTGAAACCTGGCGTACGCAATGTTTTTGTGTGTACGCAGCATTGATACATGCGGCACTACCCAAAACACAGACTGAAATGCTGCAAACAAGATCATCAATAAGCACGCCTCAAGCTGTGTTTGATAAGCCACAGTATTTTCCAGTAAGACAGCAGTTATTAATTTTTAAATGAATGATATTAACTTACCATGCATGTGGGACTTTTATTTTAAAAAACAGGAGTCACAGCTTGTTTACTTTACATTACTGAGCAACAACTGCAAGACTTTTGCTGTTTTCAGCCTCAGAAAGTTTTAAAAAATGCAAATCATGAACAAGCTGCTTTTACGTTATTTATGAGCTTTTATTATAGACAAATCAAAAAGAGTAGCTCTGACATCCTTTAAACCAATTTCTCTTATTTTGTTTTGGGTTTACATTGACACAAGGGTGAATAAATGATCATCAGATGAACTCTTCTTCTAATAAATCAGATCAACACCGTCTTTCCTACTTTTAGCAGAGAAACAGTAACGGCACAGACAGAGATGAAGAGGTTGAGAGGAACAAATTGTAAAGACAGAGAGTGCGGGGGAGACGCCGTGATGGCAGACATGATGCTGTGAGGTGTGAAAGGTTGACAAATGTTCTGCGCTAAACCTTTGAGCTGCTTGTTGAAAATAGTTGTGATTTTTTCAGCACTTTCTCCTCCCCGCTGAAGATCTGTAGGGGTTTTGAACACAGGTCACTCCCGTGATGAATTCGGCGATGAACTCACCTCCCAAAAATGGCTTAAGAACAAGTCGTAATTCATCACAAAACCCTCTAATCCTGAGACAGTGAAGCACGGCCTATTTAAAACCCTCATCTGAGGCTTTGTGTTTTACTAATACTGTTCAGATGCTTTCGTTAATTCAACCTTAAAATGTATTTTTGCATTCGGTTTGCATTTTTTTGTTTATACGTGTTGCGTGATGTAGACTGGTACACAAAAATATAGTTGAGGTCAGCATTAGGCAAGGCAAGTTTTTTAAAGAGCACATTTCATACAATACAATACAATACAATACAATACAATACAATACAATACAATACAATACAATACAATACAATATTTATTTATAGAGCACATTTCAAGAGTTCACACTTAGCTCATGATTTATACATAGCTTGTTTGGCATGCTGTCCAGGGAGAGAGCCCTGAGCTCAAGGGATCCTCGAGCCCAGGGCTCCCCCCCTTTTGCAGGGCGAGTGGAGATTGAGCTCAGGTCTATCTCAAACTCCCCCGCTGCTAAGGCCAAGGCAAACTTCCTGAGAGTAAGACATTATAAAAAAGGTTTAGGTTTATTTTATCTATAATATATAGCACATTTGGATGGTGGGAAGAAAGCGGGGAACCCGGGGGAAGTCCACGCGGACTCGGGGAGAACATATAAACTCCACACAGAAATACCAGATGGCTCAGCGAGGACCCAACACCATTGGTATTCTTGCTGTGAGGCAACAGTGCTAGTCACTGGGCCACCGTGCCGCCCATTCTGGATAAAGGAGGAAGAAGGGGAGGAGGGGGGTTTCTTCCAGACAAAGATAGTAGTAGAAAGGAAATGAGGATATATATATAGGGATTTGGGATCCTTTGATTGGAGGATCATAATTAGCTAATGTGGACCAGCTGGGTCAATCATGAGCACATGCTCCTCTCGAAATTAGTTTAAAATTAAACTTCACTTAAAAACAACCAAGGCTGACCAAAGTGCTGTACATAGGAGTGCTAAAAACAGAGAAGCAGAATATAAAAGAAACATTTAACAGATAAGAGCAATAAAGCAGTGATCAAGGAGTATTAAAAGCGAGAGAAATTAGATAGGTCTTTAAAACAGATTTAAACACAGAGATGGAGGGCAACACAGTGGCAAGTCAAAGTGTTTTACATGAACAGACATAAAAGAGACAAGTGTAATAACATAAAAACGAATAATAAAAGTGATTGAAATGTGTTAAACTAGTTCTGTCAATCGAGAAAAAAAAACTAATTAATCACACTTTTTTAATTAATCGCGATTAATCGCATTTAAAATACTGAAACTTGTTATTTTGGCTATTTAAATGTAAAATTAATGTAAACGCAAGACAAAAAACTATTTAATTTCAAAATATAATTGTTTATTAGAATTTTTGTTTAACTTGTATCACAGATTTCTTTATATTAACATCAAACCCACAATAAACCATCAAGATCCTGGCTTGACAGCCATAATTATTACAGAAATTAAAACAGGCATGTCATGCCATTTCAAGAGTTCACAGTTAGCTGATAATCAATAAAGCGTATTTGTCATGCTGTCCCGGGAGAGAGCCCTGAGCTCGTAATATCCTCGAGCCCAGGGCTCACTCCCATTAGAAGGGCGAGAGGGGAGTTCAAGCTCAGGTAGATCTTGAGAACTCCCCTGCTTGTCGCCATTAGAAGTGTAAACTAAGGTTGTATTGGGTGATAATTTGGTTTAGTCGATTGGCTATGGTTTAGGTTTTTGGACGGTGGGAGGAAACAGGGGAACCTGGGGAAAACCCACGCGAACACGGGGAGAACATGCAAACTCCACTCAGAAATGCCAACCAACCTGATAGGTTGGACCAGCCGTGTTCTTGCTGTGAGGCAACAGTGCTAGCCACTGGGCCACCGTGTCGCCCTATCAGAAAAGGGGGAGGATCTAGAGGTGGGAAGGGGGGGAGCTTCAAGACGAAGATAACAGGAGTGAAAAACTCTATTATTTATAATGCTTCCGTAATCATCTAACAGGGCAGATTACGGAGCTAATAAGGAGCCAGCCGTGTTGATCATAAGCATGTGATCCTCTCGAAATTAGTTTATGAATAAACCACACTTACATTTTAAAACAATCAATGCCAATAAAGAAAAAAAAATGTTTCCAAGTTGGATTCTAAGTTGACTGCAAAAAATGGCAAAATACAGGCATTGCAGAAATGGAACTTGGAAAATTATTATATTAATAATAAAGTATTGAATACAAACAATTGTACTCATTGTAAAATTGTATTGCTGTGAGTTGAGAACCTTATTTATACAGTAGAAACAGTTTTGCTCAGTCCTCCTTTACATTCATCCAGTTGCTAAGACTAGGAGTATCCTAGTCGACATTCGAAGCGGGTGGTTTGACACACTTAACTTGTGCATCCGCAGCTCCTCGTCCGTGCACAGAGAGCGAGTACCGCTGCGACAACCTGCACTGCATTCCTGACCGCTGGGTTTGTGACCATGACAATGACTGCGAGGACAATTCAGACGAGAGAGACTGCGGTGAGTGAAAGAAAACTGCACAAAGGAAAGGCCATGGAGTATAATGAGCAGAAAGAGTATAATGCAGTCGGCACCATGTTCAGCTTCATAATGCTGTCTCTTTACTGCAGATTGAGCCTCAGCAGGTGGTATCTCAATGCATTTGTGTGTCTGGATAGCTTGTGAATGACTTGCAGGCAGTGTGCGTGATTCATTCTCTGTGGAGTGTTGAGAGATTGATTTGGATGAATGTGTTTCAGAGCTGCGGACCTGCCACCCGGGTTACTTCCAGTGTGCGAGTGGACACTGCATCGCTGAGCGCTTTAAATGCGACGGCAACGCTGACTGTCTTGACTTCACTGATGAAAGTTCCTGTCGTGAGTGTGACATGCTTTTTAAAGCTATCTTAAGTCTGAAGTGCTGAGATAGTCACTAGAAGATGGATTTTGGTTATCATGCAGCGCCCTCTAGTGTCTAAAAGTGTGAAAAATAGAAAAGTTTATTATTATTAAGGTGAAAAACACTTAGATTTTTTGTTGGGTCATAAAGAAAATGGATACAATTTACACAAAGTATTGCAGTATACATTACAAATATATTTACATATACATATAGAGATCTGAAATATGAAAATATATGCTAATTATGCTAATTATTAATAGTTTGGAACATAAACAGCGGAAAAATTATTATCTTGCTTAAAAACTCACTTAATTCTGACTTATTATTTCTGAAAACAAGACAATATTTTTTGCTTGTCTGGAAAATGCTTCTTGTTTTAAGAATTATTTGTAATTTCAATGGTTGAAAAAATTATATATATGTTATATATATATATATATACATACACACACACACACACACACACACACACACACATATATATATATATATATATATATATATATATATATATATATATATATATATATATATATATATATATATATATATATATATATATATATATATATATATATATATATATATATATATATATATATATATATATATATATATATTTCATGTATCCGATTGGTATGTCATGTCATATACTGTATGTATGTAATTTTTTATTCATGTCTCCTCATAACTTTCAGTCAAAATACCTTCCCCTCCACCGTTTCAACATTATCTCTTTTCTGATAAACCTCATATCACTCATGTGAGATCCACTAATAGCGAACCACAATCATTTAATTAATTCGCCACAGAATTGCTTCATTTTTTATCTTTTTTGAGAAGCCATTCAGATATACAGCCCATTATCATAAACATCAGATTCTTGATTGCAGTGTTGGTCGCTTTTGTATGTTAAGTTTGATAAGCAAGTTTGTGCTGAGTTTGAGATGCTTGTGTTTATTTTTCAGCCACACGCTACCCGAACAGCACCTACTGTCCACCCTTCCTGTTTGAGTGTAAGAACCATGTGTGTGTGCAGCAGCACTGGATATGTGATGGAGATAATGACTGCGGGGACAATTCAGATGAGGAGCTGCATCTCTGCTGTGAGAAAAACACAGTCATCCGTCTATCCATCTATCCATTCAACTATTTATCCACCCATCTCTGATTACATTCACCTACCTGTACATTCATTCACCCATCCATTTATTTACCCACCCACCATCCATTCATCTGCTCATCCACCTTTTCACCAGCCACCATACATCCATCCATATTCACCACACATCCTTTCATTCATCTATTAATACATCCATCTCTCATTTACCCACTTATTCATAGATGATTCCATTCATCCATCCATCCACCTCTCCTTCCATCTTTACCTCATTCTATCCATCAATACATCCACGTATTCACCTGTCTGTCATTTCCATTCCCCAGTCCATGCATTCATCCACCCACCCACCGTCCATACATCCATTGAGCCTTCTCTCCATCCACCCATACATCCAGTCATCCATCCACCCACCCCTCAATCCATCCATAATTCTATCCACCCATCCATCTATTTTTCCATCTATCCATCATTCCATCTACCCATACATCCACCCATCGACCCATCCATCTACTATACATCAATTCATCATTCTATCCACCCACCCATCCATCATTCCATCCACCCATACATTTATCCATCGACCCATCAATCATTCCATTCATAATTCCATCCATCCATCCATCCATCCATCCATCCATCATTCTATCCACCCATCTATCTATCTTTTCATCTATCCATCATTCCATCCACCCATACATACATCCATCAACCCACCCATCCATCCATCATTTTATCCACCCATCCATCATTCCATCCACCCATACATCTATTCATCGACCCATCAATCATTCCATTCATAATTCCATCCATCCATCTATCCATCCATCCATCCATCATCATTCTATCCACCCATCCATCTGTCTTTCCATCCATTCATCCATCCATCCATCCATCCATCATTCTATCCACCCATCCATCTGTCTTTCCCTTCATCCATCATTTCATCCACCCATACATATATCCATCGACCCATCCATCATTCCATTCATAATTCTATCAACCCATCCATCCATCTATCCGTCCATCTATCCATACAACTATCAATCCAATCATCCATCATTTCATCCATCCACCCATCTATCCATTTATCATTCCATCTACCCATACATCCATCCATCATTCTATCCACCCATCCATCTATCTTTCCATCCATCCATCATTTCATCTACCCATACATTCATCCATCGACCAATCCATCCATTTATCATTCTATCAATCATTTCATCCACCCATCCATCCATCATTCCATCCATTCACCCATCCATTCATTCCTCATACCATCCATCATGCATCCATCCATCCACCCATCCATCAGTCATTCTATCCATTCATCCATCCATTTATCCACCCATCATTCTATCCACCCATCCATCCATCCATCCATCATTCCATCCATCCACCATTCCATCCACTCATACATCCATTCATTGACCCATCCATCCGGCCATTCATCATTCTATCCACCCATCCATGTATCATTCCATCTACCCATTCATCCATCATTCCATCCACCCATACATCCACTTATCAACCCATCCATCCATTCATCTATCCATTGACCCATTAATCCATCCATCCAATATTCCATTGACCCATCCAAAATTATCTAATTTGCATCAGTTCTAATGTAGATCATCATGCTTATTATAAACCTTCAACTATGTTATGTCTCCTCAGTGGACATCTCATGTGATCCTCCTTTCCGTTTCCGCTGTGATAACAACCGCTGCATCTACAGTCATGAGGTCTGCAACTCTATAGATGACTGCGGTGATGGAACAGACGAGAGGGCGGAGCATTGTGAGTGACAGCCAATCAAATGCTTCCAATTACTGTAGTTATTCTATACATGTAATGTGTGCCTGTTCATAGCTTTTATTGTAACATTTACATGTTGTGTGAATGTTTCTCAGGCGTGACTCCCACACATGGGCCCTGCTCTGCAGACGAATATAAATGCGGGAACGGTCAGTGTATTCCTCTACAGTACGCCTGTGATGACTACGATGACTGTGAAGATCAGAGCGATGAGCTTGGCTGCTGTGAGTCTTGTTGTCACCCTTATGTTGTATTTTTATTCTTGCATGAACGAAAGTGGATCATTATTTATATGAACAAATTCCAAAAAACAGTAAATGGCGCTCTTTCAAGGCCCAGTGAAATATAAATGACGTTTTTTAGATGTTAGTGTCAGTATTTTAGACTTAAGGATATATTTATAAGCTAATGTGGTACAAAACAATGACAAAATTTGCATTTAAAAGATGTAAAACTGATATAAGCATGTAAAGCTTCTAGTTTGTCATCTCCATTTAAGTAGATCAACGATTTTTATGACTTCACTTCATACTTCAGTTTCTCATTAAATCTTCTGACCAATGAAATGCTCTCTAGTATCTTACATGCCCTGCCCCCTTTTAGACGCTTCTCATTTGCTTTTTTGTTTAAGAACAGCACTCAAATGTTAGCTGGAAGTTAACATTTTTTTAAATTTCAGTCTCGTACCGAATTCCAGTATTGTGACAACCCTAGTGGTGGTAGAAGAGAAGATTCCCCCAAAAATGTGTAAAGCACTTTGAGCATCCAGAAAAAAGCTATATAAATGTAAGAAAGGTTGCCGGATCGATCACAGCTCGGGGCAGGTTGGGTGGTGTAGGACCGGCGGGGTTACATTGGTGCCGTGACCCGGATGGAAGTGAGGTTTAGGGGCGTGAGTGTAATGCTGTGTTCACACCAGACGTGGAACGCGCGGATAAATCGTGCTATTCGCGTGTAAATTGCCGTGTGAACATTTGACTTTACTCGCTTCATTCGCGCGTCAAACCCCGCTTCATACGCGCGTCACATCCGATTCATTCTCGTGTCACATCCGATTCATTCGCGTGTCAAATTCACTTCAAAACAGACGCGGATTTGCGTGATGGGAAGAGCTTCTGTCTGCCCGGTGACTCTAGCTTCATAGCTAAACGACTAACATGGATTTTATGAAGAAAATAACAGTGTTTATGTGCTTTATGAAGACTGAAAAACAGCGTCGATACGTTTAGGGTCCTGTCTGAGTCCACTACATCCTTGCAGAGGTGCATCCAGCTCTGTGAGATCATAAACTCCTCCAGAAACTGAACCTGGAAGACGGAGAGTTTCAGCTGTGCTTCAGACTGAGCCAAGCCCAGTTTGATGACCTGTTGTCAGTGTTGCCTGGAGGATTTCCCTCGGAACACCATCAACAGGTTCTACGCCACAATCACGCCCCCACAAGAGCAAGCTTCTGATTGGTTAACGCAGCGCCAATGTCCGCTGAAGTTCAGATTTTCGAACTCGAGAGATTCAAACATGCAAAACGCTCAATTCGCCCCGCGCCATTCGCGCATATCACGCTATTCGCACCGCGCCATTCGTGTAATTCCCAGCTCGGGGTGGGTTGGGTGGTGTAGGACCGGCGGGGTTACATAAACATAAATAAAAACTTTATTGTCCTTGACAGAAATTTGTTATGGACATCACCATATTGCTGCTGACATTCTATAAAAACAAACAATAAAACATTGAAAAATACAGTAGTTACAATAATTAAAATGCTAAATAAGATAAACTCTTGTTAAGTAAACTTACTGAAACTGGCACAAACGATTTCTTATATCGGTTCAACCTACACTTAGGGACTCTATATCTCCAACCAGAGGGAAGCAGTTCATAATGTGGAAACAAAAAATGAGTTGGATCATTCAGACAACATACTCATTGTTTACTAACTCCAGACAAGAGCATTTCTCTAAATATTTGCACTATATCAGCCAATATGTTCATCATTGCATATTGTAACTAATCTGTTGGAGTGTAGTGTCTTATTATTTAATATACATGTTTAAACACCTACCTTGACATCAAGTTATGAAAGCCATGGTGTAAAACATTTGATTTAGATGGTAATGTGAAATCTGCACAAATGTTGAATATTAAATCTAAAATGTAAAAGCAGTAATATTAGTATTGCATTAGTTTGTTTTTATCATTGGAAAAGTATTGTAAATCCATTACTGCATCTTTTTTTTTTTTGTCTTGATGAATTTTTTTTTGTTTGTCACTGTTAGACTTCGGCCACGGACGGTCATGCAGTGAAAACCTATGTGAGCATAACTGTACGGATTTGTCAGCCGGAGGCTTCATTTGCTCTTGTAGACCTGGATATAAACCTAACCCGGAGGACAAGAATACCTGCGAAGGTTTGTGACGTCATGGCAATACATTCTTTATTACAAGACCTCAATGTTTACTGTAAAACAGGCTTTAAGTAAGCCAGACAGGACACAAGTAATGCCTGCAGGGGACTTAAAAGGCTGATTTCACTGATTCAAGCTCAATTAAAAACAAAGCAAAATAATTTTTTTCTGTCCTTTGCGTGAGATCTTTTCCATCTGAGACACAGAGACTGCCACCATGTTCAAAAGCTAAATAGGTTTATGTACATTTCATGGGCTTTTGTTTAGGTTTATTAGGTTAGACTTACTAAAGACTTAACTCATTAATTTTCCTTCTGCTTAGTCCCTTTATTTATCAGGGGTCGCCACAGCAGAATGAACCGTCAACTATTCCAGCATATGTTTTTGCACAGTTGATACCCTTCCAGCTGCAACCAAAAACACCCAAACACACTCATTTACTTACACACACTCATACACTATGTGAAGTTTAGTTAGGAACTAATTTTGAGAGGAGCACGTGATTATGATTGATCACAGCTGGTCCCGCATTAACAATACCTGATTCACTAATCAGATGATTCCTAACTTACTCTAAATAACCAGAGTTTCTCACTACAGTTATCTTCGCCTTGAAGAATCCCCCCTTTCACTCCTACTCCTCCACCTTTCCCTCTATTGGGCGGCACGGTGGCGCAGTGGTTAGCACTGTCGCCTCACAGCAAGAATGTTACTGGTCCAAATCCTTAACAGGCCAGCTGTCGTTTCTGTACAAAATGTACATGTTCTCCTTGTTCTTGCATGGGTTTCCCCCGGTTTCACTGTCCAAAAAATATGTGTCATAAGTGAATTAATCAATCTATATTAACACTATTGTTGAACTCTTCACCAGCAGTATATCTCTACACCACAAATTATTCACTCTAAACAAAAGTTGAGAGTTCTCGAGACCTACCTGAGCTCAAACTCCCCTCTTGCCATGCAAAAACCCTGGGCTCAAGGACCTTATGAGCTCAGAGCTCTCTCCTGGGACAGCATGCCAAACTCGCTTTACAATCAATCATGAATCAAGTGTGAACTCTTGAAGGGCAATTTAGTTCATTCAATTCATCTACTGCACGTCTTTGGACTGTGGGGAAAACCAGAGCTCCCGGTGGAAACCCCCGCGAACACGGGGAGAACATACAAACTCCACACAGAAATGCCAACTGACCCAGCTGGGACTTTAACCAGGGATGTTCTTGCTGTGAGGCGACAGTTCTAACCACTGTGCCAGTGTGTTATCCATTTTTATGAATGTTTATTTATTTATTTATTTTCTCTCAGTCTCTGTGCTTGATCTCGTTTGATCATGTGATCTACTTAATCATTGTGTGACTCCTTAAATGAAAAAGGCTCCCAGTTCTAATGTTGTTAGCATGGCATTGACAATGCCTTTTGCCAACATTTGCCTTTTTTTTTCCAGTACATTGCTTATCACTTCATGTCACTTGTCTCTTTGTGATATTTGAGATTTTGTGCAGGACATTTTCAGCTACTTGTACCCTATATAGACTGTAAATTATGTTACAACCCTAGACCAGAATAACATAAACGTAGAAATCATAGAATTAGAAATAAGAAAAATTGTGAGTAACAAACCCTTTAAAATTTGCAAACATCTCAGTTTCGGTATAGTTTATGCAACATGACACACCATTTTTTTACACCAGCTAAGGAGTTGCAAAAACAGCATACTTGATTTTTTTTTTGAGTTTTAAAAACATATTTCATTTGCATTCGTTTGTTCTTCTGTTGTGTGTAATGTGAGGTGTTTTTTGTCTCTGTGTGCAGATGTGGATGAGTGTGAGATTTACGGCACGTGTCCTCAGCTGTGCAAAAACACTAAGGGCAGCTATGAGTGTTTCTGCGCTGAAGGGTTTAGATCAGTCGGAGAGCAGCCAGGAGTCGAATGCGCCGCTGAGGGTGAGACGTTTGCTGTTTGTTTTTTTTTTTGTATTTATTTTCTGTATATTGTTTCTTGCATATCTGCGTCTTTTGTGTTTACTGTCTTTAGTACCCTGTTTAATGTAAAAAATAAAAAAATTCTTGTTTATTTTTTAACCTGTTGCCATTTAAAGATTTTTCTTTGGCAAGTATTTAGTTTTTATTTATTTTTCAAAAAGCAAGACCTTTACATTATGACATTTTGCATCTCAACTAAATATATCTTTATTTGAGAATTTTTAAATGTTAATACCTGGTAAATTATAATAAAAAATGTAAAATAAATAAATAAATAATTAAGGCTAATTACTTAAATTGCGTTTACAGAAATAAAAATTCTATATTTAAATATCCTGAACTTTTAACTAGTTGCTAAGGAATTAAAATATATTACATGTGTGTAAAATAAAAATATAAATAATTAAAATATATGACGTGTGTGTAAAATAAAAATATAAATAAGTAAAATATGACGTGTGTGTAAAATAAAAATATAAATAAGTAAAACATATGACGTGTGTGTAAAATAAAATTAAAAATAATTAAAATATATCACATGTGTGTAAATTAAAAATATAAATAATTAAAATATATTACGTATGTGTAAATTTAAAAATACAAAAAATTTAAATATATGACGTTTGTGTAAAATAAATAATATGAATGAGTAAAATATTTGACGTGTGTGTAAAATAAAAATAATTTAAATATAGTATGTATGTGTAAAATAAAAATATAAATAATTTAAATATATTATGTATGTGCATATTTATATACATTTTTGTTCTAAGAAAATAAATAAATGAGCCATTTCACTGCCAAATAATTTAAATAAAACATGTTTTTTTTTTTTTTTATAAAAGTAAGGAAATGTCTTATTTTTTATGTTAAAAAAAATGTAAAACTAAGAAGGACTAAACTGGAAGATAAGTGTTTGTTCCACTGATAATGTTTCTTACTCTTGTGTTAATTGTTTTACTCTCTGTCTTTTCTCAGGAAACCCTCCAGTGTTGTTGTTGCCTGATAATGTGCGAATCCGCCGCTTTAACTTGTCGTCAGCGCAGTATTCAGATTATGTGGATAACGCTGAGCACATTCAGGCTCTGGACTACCTGTGGGACCCAGAAGGCCTCGGTCTCAGTAAGACACACAAAATCATCCAAAATCCCACCCAAAGTGACAGAAGTGTTTAATGTTTTAATGCAGATTACAGAAAGTGAAGCGCAATTTACAGCACCATCAGTGAAGTGGGGCAACTGTGTTATTTTTTGTCATTATTCTACTTTTAACTTATTTGTCAATTAATTTAAGGAACTTCATGTATGTAGTATAAATGTGTATGTACAGTTGAAGTCAAAATTATAATTTTTTCTTTTTTAAATATTTCCCAAATGATGTTTAACAGAGCAAGGAAGTTTGCACAGTATTTCTTATAATATTTTCTTCTTCTGGAGAAAGTCTTATTTGTTTAATTTAGGCTAAATATAATAATAAAAGCAGTTTTTAATTTATTAAGAAACATTTTAGGTCAAAATTATTAGCCCCCTTAAGCTATATTTATTTTTTCGTTAAACAGTGACTAGCCTAATTACTCTAACTTGCCTAATTAACCTGGTTAAGCCTTTAAATGTCACTTTAAGCTGTATAGAAATGTCAATAATATCTAGTCAAATATTATTTACTGCCATCATGGCAAAGATAAAATAAATCAGTTATTAGAGAGTTATTAAAACTTTTATGTTTAGAAATGTGTTGAAAAAATCTGCTCTCCCATAAACAGAAATTGGGGGGAAATGTTTATATATTAGTAGTAAAATGACTAAAACTGAAACCTAAAAAAACCCTAAATGCTAAAATGAAAACATAAATTATGAAAATATGTAATGTATATTTTATATTTATTTATTCGTTTATTTGTTTGTTTATTTATCTATTAATTTTTAGTTTTTCAGATTTACAATTTTAAAAACACATGTTAAGTTTTAGTATTTTCAGTTAACATCTCTTTAGCAATAACAGTAACAGTTTTTTTGTTTTCATATTTTTAGGACTGAAACAGTTTAATTCCAGTTTCTTTAAATTAGAATTTTTTATGAAATATTAATATTTTATTTCAGCGTAATTTCGATTTACAAATATATATATATATATATATATATATATATATATATATATATATATATATATATATATATATATATATATATATATATATATATATATATATATATATATATATATATATATATATATATATATATATATATATATATATATATATATATATATATATATATATATATATATATATATATATATATATATGTATATGTGTGTGTGTGTGTGTGTGTGTGTGTGTGTGTGTGTGTGTGTGTGTGTGTGTGTGTGTGTGTGTGTGTGTGTGTGTGTGTGTGTGTAAAACTTACACTTAATGTACATTTAAAAATAAAAATAAAATTATATATATATATATATATATATATATATATATATATATATATATATATATATATATATATATACACACACACACACACACGCACACACACACACACAATTAAATCTTATACACAGAATTAATAAAATAACATTTTTTTAAAACCAAACAAAACATAAAACATTTTTACTGTTTCACTGTACAAAATATATTTAATAGTTGTACTGTAGTTTTAGTTAATACTTTATGTAAATAGAAAATTTTGTTTTGTTTGGTTGAAAACCTTTTATAATAAAATATAAACATTTTTAAACAACCGAACAAAGCATAAAACATGATCACTGTTTTTACAAGTTCATAAATGCAGACTGAAGCATAATTCTACAACGCTTCTTGATCATTTTCAGGTATCGTCTACTGGACAGTGTTGGGTCGTGGCTCTGATTTTGGCTCCATAAAGAGGGCCTACATGACCACGTTTGATGACCATGGCAATAATCCAGTGAAGGAGGTGGACCTGAACCTCAGATACGTCTCCAGTCCGGACGGCATTGCTGTCGACTGGATCGGACGGTGTGTAAAATGACTCCACACCAAACCAATCAAAAGTGTCAATTTGATTATGCATGCATTATCTGAAAGTTGAATAATTGAGCTGTTCATGAATGTATGGTTTGTTGGGAATAGACAATATTTGACTGTTTGGAAATCTGAAATCTTTGGGTTAAAATTGGATTAGATTAAATTCAGCTTTATTATCATTACATATGTACAAGTACAAGGGAATTAAACGCAGTATCAAAAATAATAATAATAAATCCAAATACTGAGAAAATCACATTAAAGTTGTTACAATTAAGTTCTTAGCAATGCCTAATAATAATCCAAAGTTTAACTTTAATTCATTCATTCATTTTCTTGTCGGCTTAGTCCCTTTATTAATCTGGGGTTGCCACAGCAGAATGAACCGCCAATTTATCCAGCACATTTTTTTACAGTGGATGCCCTACCAGCCGCAACCCATCTCTGGGAAATTAGCTTTAATATATTTACAAAATACCTTCATAGGACATGATCTTTACTTTATATTCCAATGATGTTTGGCATGAAAGAAAAATGTACAATTTTGACCCATACATGGTTTTTTGGCTCACTGGTTTTGTGGTCCATAGTCACAAATAAACATTATCTGACTGGATCCAGGGGAGTTAAAGTTCTTCTACTCTGTGTTTTGTCTTTTCTATCAGTCATATATACTGGACGGACGCTGGAACAAACAGAATTGAAGTGGCCAAACTGGATGGACGTTACAGAAAGTGGTTGATTCACAATGATCTCGATCAGCCGGCTGCTATTGTGGTCAATCCCAGTCTCGGGTAAGGAATATATTATTAATCATTTCAAATGAAAACAGTTTTGGGGATCCTGCACTAAAATATTTTATTGGTTGATATTTTTGTCTGGATTTCCAGGTAACACTTTAACCCCTTCAGACCTGAATTATGTTCCAAGTTTCAGAAAAATGGGATGTCATGTGATGTCCATTGTAATGGACGCAGGGTCTGAAGGGGTTAAAATGATGTTGGTTAAACAGTTGATGCTGGTTAATGTATTTACTAATATGAGCAAACAATTATTAATACATTTATAACGGTATTCATTCATCTTCATTAATGTTATTTATTAAATCATAACACATTAGGTTCAGATGCAAAATGACATAAGAAAAGGTGTTTTGTTTTCTGAAAAATGCAACCAAATGTGTTCATGCTTAAAACATGAATTATAGTTAATAAAGCCATACAAATGTATAAATTTGAATGAAGGTTCAAATAAACTGCATTATATAAAATGAAATAAAAACGAAACTTGTTTTATTTCAACGGCTTAACAAGTAAATAGCTCTCATTTTAAAGTATTTCATCTTTACAGCTACTTAAAATCAAAATGAAAAAATATAAAGACAAAAAATTATCAAAATTGTAAAAAATAAATTAAAATTAAAATACAATCACAATGATTTGAGTGATTTGAGTGATTAGGATGTACTGTGGGTGGTTAGGTGACTCAGTGGTAAGCAACAAGAAGAAGGTCCCTGGTTCGAGTGGAATTCTTTGTGGAGTTTGCATGTTCTCCCCGTGTTGGCGTGGGTTTCCTCCGGGTGCTCCGGTTTCCCCCACAGTTCAAAGACGTATGAGTGTGTATATGTGAGAGTGTATGGGTGTTTCCAAGCACTGGGTTGTGGCTGGAAGAGCATCTGCCGCATAAAACATGCTGGAATAGTTGGTGATTCATTCCGCTGTGGCGACCCCTGATAAATAAGGAACTAAGGCGAAGGCAAATGGATGAATGAATGAATCTATGTACTGTGTACCACTACCAGTCTTAAGTTTTAGAACAGTAAGAGTTTTTCAAATATTTATTTTAAAAAAATGTACTATTAAAAATAACTGTGTATGAATATTATTTAAAATATAATATATTCCACTGATTTTAGCATCATTACCCGTCACACACAATATTATTTGATATATGTATTCTGATATATGTTATCAAATTTTTATTGTACTCATTCATTCATTCATTCATTCATTTTCCTTCAGCTTAGTCCCGTTGTTCATCAGGGGTAGCCACAGTGGAATCAACCATCAACTTATTCAGCATATGGTTTACACAGCGGATGCCTTTCCAGTTGCAACCCAGTACTGAAAAACAGCCACTGTTTTCACACACACACACACACACACACACACACTACGGCCAATTTTGTATTCCAATCGCCTATAGCACATGTGTGTGAACTATGGGGGAAATTAGTGCACCCAAAGGAAATTCAAGCCAACTCGAGGAGAACAAGCAAACTCCACACATAAATACCAACTAGCCCAGCCGGATATCAAACCAGCGACCTTCTAGCTATGAGGCGATACTACTAAGCCACCGTCTCACCCCATTTTTTACTGTATTGTTTATTAAATTAAAGTGAGCCTTGGTAATCAGTATAGACATATATATGTATGTAAATAAAAGCTGATAAATATTTTTTTCCACAACGAAGCCTCTTGTACATCATCTTATTATCTTTTGGGGGAAGCCTGTGTGATTTCCGGTCCAAAACATACTTGTTGGTTGAAGTAACTTTAATGAATACTTTTATTTAATTACATTTTAAATACATAAAAAGTGTATAAAAATGCATGTATATACTGTTTATCTTCCAGTAAGATGTTCTGGACGGACTGGGGCAGAAAGCCGAGGATCGAGACCGCATGGATGGACGGTCAACAAAGAGAAGTGCTTCTGGATGAAGATCTGGGCTGGCCTACAGGCTTGGCTCTAGACTACCTAAATGAAAACCGCATCTACTGGTGTGACTCAAAAGAGAACATCATCGAGTCGATGAAAGTGGACGGGTCCGACCGGCAGATCATTATATCTGGAGGTGAGACACTGAAACTGACCACCTGAAAACTTATTTAACGGTATAGTTTACCCATAAAATGAAAATCACCCCTTAATTTATCCTTTGTGTATGTCACTTTTTTTCTTTCAGACGATTATAGTCGTACTAGTTTTCACGTTTGTCCTGGCTCTTTCATGATGTATAATAGTGTTGGATAGGGGCTTTTATTTTGAAGCTTCCAAAATCGCAAATATCCATACGATCCATACGAATACCCATATGCTGACAGGGGATTAACATATGTCTTGTAAAGCAGATTGATGTGTTTTTGTAACAAAACTATTTCTAACGGTTCCATTATAAACTCCAATCAATGAGCATTGGCAACAGCCGAATCCACGTTATGCGCAACTCATGTATATGTCGCATGCACACATTGTAAGAGTAATAAATTGTAACGCAGTAACTTTTTTTCCACTATCCAACACCATTATACAGCATGGAAGATCCAGAATAAACTTTAAAACTACTCCAACTGTGTTCATTTGGCAGAAAAAAATACACGATATACACCAAAGACAGAATATTATGGGCTATTTTTCGTCTTTGGGTGAACTAAGAGCCATTGCAAAATTTAAAACAGAAATTTTCTATACTAAATCTAAACTAATCTTTTTAAGCTGTACCTCTCGTGTAGATTTCTGAATAGTTATATATTGTTATCCAGTAATAGTACATGCATGGCTATAGTTTTATTAGGAAATGTCACCGGATGTCAAGGGAGCGAAGACAAGAGGTTGGATCCAAATGCAATTTTTAATGAAAAAGATTATTCGTGCAGGCAAAAACAAATGAGGTCAAAAAACAAGAACTCAGATATCATGAAGGGCATCGAAAAATGCAAAAACAAAGCGATGATCAAGGTACAAAAAAATTACAAAACAATCATCAAAACATAACTAGAAAAACTAAACAGGACGACACTCTCTGAAACCATACAGGTACTGACAAACAAAGATTCCGCCTTGACTGGTGTGTGCAATGTGTATAAATAGTGCAAACCATTGATGATGACAATATTCAGCTGTGTGATTAATGGTTACTGGTTTGTGCAAAGGCATGCTGGGATATGTAGTTCATGAATGACATGTGTAGTATGCCAGCGATCTTTCAGGAACAGATTGCTGGTTATGTGACAGGAAATGGTGATAGTGGCTGTTTTCAGTATGCATTCTTGTCTGTACTTGCGTTCTTGTGTCCTCGTGAAAAGCCATCAACCGTCTCCGAAGTACTGTTCCAATTCAAAGTTCACACCTTGCCAAGTACAGATAAAATTCCCAGATGTGTACTTTCTCCACCCCTTTTGCCAAGGATGCTTCGAGAGGTGACTTATGTGAACTTCAACTTACTAAGAACAGGTTTCACAGAATGCATTGCAGCGTAACCAGCGAAAGCAAATGGCGGAGAAGAAAACCCGCACGATTTTACAAATACTCCTCTGTTGTGTTACAAATGAAAGTTTTAGGAGTTTTTTAGGCAAGAATGTAGGTTTTTTTAAACTCAAATCGGCAGTTTGTTTATAAAGATCGCGGGAATAACAGCGGGAATTTCATGATATTTAATGCATTTTGGTAGCGGTAGGTGGCAAAACATACATAAACATTTCAAAAGTTCACACTTAGCTGATGAATGATTATAAAGCTTGTTTGGCATGCTGTCCCAGGAGAGAGCCCTAAGCTCATAAGATCCTCGAGTCTGGGGCTCTCTCTCATTTGCAAGGCAAGAGAGGAGTTTGAGCTCAGGTAGATCTTAAAACAGATAGGGGATAGATAAAACCAACAAGGGTCAAAAACACAGCTAGACAACCCAGGAAAACACCTTGTAATGCTCACTACAGGGATAACAAGACTCAGCAGAGGAGTTCTGAATGGTCTCTATATTGTCATAGTGATCAGTGGTGATAAACTGCAGCTGTGTGTGTGTAATCTGGAGGTGAGCTGAAACTGGTGTGTGAATGCAGGCCATGATGGGTTTTGTAGTCCGATTCAGTGGCAGATGTGATGTGTTGAGTGCCCTCTAGTGTGTCTGGTGAGGACTCTACTTGATGACTGTGACAGGCGACTAAAAATCACACATCCTATTTGTGCCTAGGCAAACTTCTTCAGACTTTTTCTTCTTTTTACTTTTACATAAAATTATTCATAAAAAAATGCTTTTTTTGATTTCCCAGTATTTTATTACAACCAAATTAAATATCTGTAAGATTTGTCTCAATTTAAATTCCCTTCTTTTAATTATGCAAAAAAAAAAATAATAATAAATTTTAAAAAACGTAAAAGTGTTTTTTTTTTTGTAAAACAAGCCCAAATTAGATTTCTATTTAAAATCATTCAAGAAATTGATTGATGTATATTTGGTACGTAAAGGGTTGAGCTGTGCTGATGTTTGTTGTGTTTGCAGACATCGGCCACCCCTACAGTCTGGATGTGTTCGAGGGCCACGTTTACTGGACGACTAAAGAGAAGGGAGAAGTGTGGAAGAAAGATAAGTTCGGGAAAGGAGACAAGGTGAAAGTGTTGACTATAAACCCCTGGCTGACCCAAGTGAGAATCTACCAGGAGCATCGACACAACCACTCAGGTAAAGCAATAGAAATGCATATCTAGCTAGCAACATGATGTTTTATGTCCTAAAGACATCTGATTGCAAAAAAAAGTCTCATTTTCATTTCGTTTAACTTGATGTACTAAATAATTCAAATAAAAACTAGTCTAGTTTTCTTTAGTTTTTCTCTAGTTTTTTCTTGAAAATCATTAATTATTAATTTCAATTAGTTTTAAAGAACCATCAAATAACACATTGAATTTTGTATAAAATTGTACTTTTAATTCAGGTGTTTTCTTGTAAAACATAGTCTAGTAAACTACATAAACTAAATACAATATTTTTTTTTATAAAATTATATTTAGATAATTAAATTAATTTTGTTTTTAAACCTACTTTGCATTTAATGGAACATACATACACACATAATTTTTTTCAATTAGAAGTGGAGATATAGAGACGGATAGGTAGATAGATGGATGGATGGATGGTGAGATGGGTGGATGAACGGATAAATAGTAAGATAGAAAGAAGGTGAGATGGATGAATGGATAGATGGATGGTGAGATGGACGGATAGTTGGATGGATGGATGGATGGATGGATGGATAGATGGATGGATGGATAAACGGATAGACGGATAAATAGAAAGATAGAAAGAAGGTGAGATGGACGAATGAATAGATGGATGGATAGTGAGTTGGATAGATGGATGGATGGATGGATGGATGGATGGATGGATGGATGGATGGATGGATGGATGGATGGATAGATGGATGGATAAATGGATAAATAGAAAGATAGAAAGAAGGTGAGATGACCGAATAAATAAATGGATGGATGGTGAGATGGACGGAGAGTTTAATAGTTGGATGGATGGATGGATGGATGGATGGATGGATGGATGGATAGATGGATGGATGGATGGATGGATGAATAGATGGATGGATGCATGGATGAATGGAAAGATGGAGAAATGGATGGATGAACGGATAAATAGAAAGATAGAAAGAAGGTAAGGTAGATGGAGAGATGGATGGATGGATGGATGGATGAATGAATAAAGAGATGGATGGATGAATAGATGGATGGATGCATGGATGAATGGAAAGATGGAGAGATGAATGGATGGATGGATGGATGGATAAATGGATAAATATAAGGATAAAAAGAAGATGAGATAGCTGGAGAATGAGATGAATAGAGAGTTGGATGGAGAGATGGATGAATAAATAGAAAGTAAAGGTAAGATAGAAGGAAAAATGGATGGATGGAAAGAAAGAAAGATTGATGGATGGATGAACAAATGAATAAATAGAGAGATAGATGGGTAATGGATGGAGAGATGGATGGATAAGTGGATGGATGAATGGATGGAAAGAAGGATGGATGGTTGGATGGATGGATGAACGAATAAATAGAAAGAAAAGGTAAGATGGATGGATGAATGAATGGATTGATTGATTGATTTGTTTTTTTGTGTTTTTTTAGTTGCAGCAGTGTAGTGCAACGGTGCAGTGTCTGTGTGTGAATGTAGTAAATGTTATTTTGTTGTGTTGCAGTGATGAACCCATGTCAGGACGCCTGCAGTCACCTGTGCCTCCTGCGTCCGGGTGGATTCACCTGTGCCTGTCCGCAGGGATCAACACTGCTCACCTTCAACAAAAACCAGTGCGACGCCGGTAAGAGACCACCACTGATCTCATCATATCCCATCAGTCCATCTCACAGCATCCATGCATGTGTTGTGTCTAATACTGCATGTTTCATTACTGCAGGGTTCATTTCCTCAGTGAAAATGAAGGTGATAAATGTTCACTGATGACCTGTTTTTCCAAGACTAAGATGATATTGATATCATTACATACTAGGGGTGTCAAAATTAATTGTTTCTTCAATGCGCAGCGATGCAGACACGGACGATTCAGTTCAGTAATACATCATAACCGTTATTACGTACTGACGACATTTATCTCATATACGTTATGTCATGTTAGCTTACTATGGTGAGAGAGGCGAGCTCAAGTACTTTAAACGCTTCAACTACTTAAAAAACAGACAACTCTGCACAATTCACTGCTTGTGAGTTTACTGTACAGTCTTTCACTGACCCTGAAGTACAGCAGGAACCAGGAGCCACTATTTCACTGCTATGGAAGAATTGAAAGCTGTAAACTGGATCAGCTGTGATAATCATAGCCATTCTCAAGTGTCTGTGTCACTGCTCTGTAAACAGCGCTGAACGTTAGAGCCAATCACAGCACCTTCAGTTGAGCTCATGAACACAACAACCAATTATCAGCATTTAAGAACTCGCTCGACAATGCTCAAAAAGCAAGCGGGACTAATATTTACATTTGTTTATTTGCTATAAATGCTCCTGTTGTCTTTTGTGCATGTACTTGAATTTTTTTGTTTTGTTTAGTTTTTTGTGTTTGAGTGTTTTCTTTGAGCAGGTAAAATTAAAAGTACAGTTCGTACACTCACCGGCCACTTTATTAGGTACACCTGTCCAACTACACGTTAATGCTAATTTCTAATCAGCCAATCACATGGTAGCAACTCAGTTCATTTAGGCATGTAGACATGGTCAAGACGATCTGCTGCAGTTTAAACCAAGCATCAGAATGGGGAAGAAATGTGATTTAAGTGATGTTTAACGTGGCTTAGTTATTGGTGCCAGGTGGGCTGGTCTGAATATTTCAGAAACTGCTGATCTACTAGGATTTTACGCACAACCATCTCTAGGGTTTACAGAGAGTGGTCCGAAAAAGAGAAAATAACCAGTGAGCGGCAGTTCTGTGGGCACAAATGTCTTGTTGATGCCAGGTCAGAAGAGGATGGCCAGACTGGTTCCAGCTGATAGAGAGGCAACAGTTACTTGAACAAAAATCTCTGAGAAATATTTCCAGTATTGTTGAATCTATGCCACGAAGGATTAAGGCAGGTCTGAAGGCAAATAAGGATCCAACCCTGTACTCGCAAGGTGTACCTAATAAAGTGGCCAGTGAGTGTATATCTGACTGCTTGAATTAAAAGACAAATTGTATTCTTGTGCTGTGAGGTTAAATATAAAATTGAGTATGGAAAGCATCATCAACGCACCTTGATGCATCGAGATATCGAATTGAACTAAATCGAATTGAACTGAAGAGAGCCATGTGAAAAGTGTAAGTTCACACCCCTGTTAGATACTGAAAAAAGGTGAGACTAAAATGTAGCCTAAACCTAAGCAACATTAATTTTTGGTATATAATTGCGATGTATTGCACTGTTCATTCATTAAATGAGCAGATCAGAGCGCAAGACATCATAGTTTTCAGTCATGTTACCGACGCAGCAGATCTGTCAATTTTCTATGTGTTTTAAGCCATAGGCTATGAACATTTTTCATCTTCACTTTTGTTGACGAAATGAACACTGCCTTGTGATGTATAGACTCCAGTAGCGGTGCTCTGTTTAATTGGCTATTGATTGCAATCAGACGATAATCGATTCGTAAAAGTCAGTCTTCAATTTTACTATATACATTTGTGAACTAAATTATGAACCATCCTGTGAAACTTTTATACTTTTAAAAATATTTCCCAAGTGATGTTTCAGATTTTTTTCCCAACACATTTTAAACATAAGAATTTTAATAATCAGTTTCTAATAACTAATATACTTTGTCTTTGCCATGATGGCAGTTTATAATGTATATAGTATATAATGTTTTACTAGATATTTTACAAGTTAGGGTTATTTGTTCTAAAAATTCACGTTAAAATGCATTTTAACCAGTGTTTTCAGCTCATAAATCATGAACGGAGCACTGTTAGACTGGAGTGCTGTGGAAATGTGTGGTGTTGTGGTCTGACATTGTGGCTGTGTTACATTGCTGTTGTGGTGTTTGACCATCCGCTGCACCGCAGCCATTGAGGCCGAGGTGTCCATGCCGCTTGCATGCAGATGCATGAATGGAGGAACGTGCTTCACTGATGAAGGAGGCCTGCCCAAGTGCAAGTGAGTCTGAACGCTAGTCAAGAGCTGCTGTTCACGCTCTACAATTCCTTACAAGGATTATCCATAATGGGGAATCACATTTTTATTGGTTTTATGATATCTGCTCCATTAAGTTAAAATATTGGATGCATATATGGATGGAGATAGATAGATAGATAGATAGATAGATAGATAGATAGATAGATAGATAGATAGATAGATAGATAGATAGATAGATAGATAGATAGATAGATAGATAGATAGATAGATAGATAGACGGACGGACGGACGGACGGACGGACGGACGGACGGACGGACGGACGGACAGACAGACAGACAGACAGACAGACAGACAGACAGACAGACAGATAGAATGGATGGATGGATGGATGGATGGATGGATGGATGGATGGATGGATGGAAAGATAGAAATAAGGGGAGATAGATCGGGACATGGATGGATGGAAGGATGGATGGATGGATGAATGAATGGATGGATGAATGGATGGACAGATAAATAGAAGGGGAGATAGGTGGATAGATAGATGGAGGGATGGATAGCTGGATGGATGGATAAACAGAAAGAAGAGGAGATTAATGGATGGATGGAAAGATGGATGGATGGTCTTATAAATAAAAAATATAGAAAGAAGAAGAGATAGATGAGGAGATGGATGGATAGATGGATACATGGATGGATGGATAATAGAAAGAAGGGAAGATGGAAGAATGGATGGATGGATGGGTGGATGGATGGATGGATGGATAAAAAGATAGAAAAAGGGGGAGATAGATCGGGAGATGGGTGGATAGATAAATGGAGGGATGGATTAATAGAAGGAAGGGGGAATGGATGGATGGATGGATGGATAGACGGATGGATGAATGGATAAATAGAAAGTTAGAAAGAAGGGAAGATAGATAGATAGATCCAATGCTCTGTGAAATGCTCCGTGGTTTGTCCTTAATGCTTAGTGTTTCCCTCCTCAGGTGTCCGTACGGTTACTCTGGTAGTTACTGTGAAATGGGCAAGTCTAGAGGAGCTCCCGCTGGCACAGGTGAACACACTCGTACTAGTTCATTCATTCTATAATGCTCTTATTCTAAATGTTGAGTTAACACCATTACACGCGTATTTTAACCCTGATTTTTTACGTATTTTTACAGCTGTTTTTTATCCAGTCTGATTCCTCTAAGCAGCTGGCTCCTCAGTGCGCTAACATGCCTTTAATGTTGTTTGTGTTTAGCGGTGACGGTACTGTTAGCAGTGGTGATTATTCTGGTGACTGGAGCTCTGGTTGTGGGAGTTTTCCTCAACTACAGGAGAACTGGATCTCTCATCCCGTCAATGCCTAAACTACCCAGGTAAACCACAAGCACTGATTTTTGGTTGATATTACTGAGCAACAGTTATTTATTAATTTGCAACAAGTATACAATCAGAGTTGCAAAGCATTACTTTGCTACAGCAATCCACATGGAATTATTATTTGTTTATGTTTTCAGATGTTTTTAGAGGCTACATTCAAATCAAATACCACCAAACTTCCCATACTACTATAGAATTGTATGTCTACTTTACAAATATTGTCATAAGTATGAAAAAATACAGTTCATATTGCTTAAAACATAGGGGGCGCCCTTGTATAGTCACCAATGGAAGTTGAATGACAACTTGTGGTCATTTTTGGTACTGCGCCCAAACAAAGATATCAAGTTTAAATTTGTGAAATAATTTGTTACCATATTTTGCTTTGATTTTATGTCAATTTTAGGTTAAAACAGGTTTCGTAGAATACATATTTTATATGGTATATTGATTTTTTTTTTTTACTTCAGCTACAATCTGACATGTGTCTTCTATAAAATAAGACCAAGCTTAAATCTGTGCACCAAGATTGGCAATCATTCAAGTTGATTCAAAGGCAGATGAGCTTTTATTTTAGCCTAACTAAAAGAATTAAGACTTTTGGTTTTCAGAAGAAATAAATGTTATAGGAAAATATAACATTTATACAGTGTTTCCTCTAGAATTTTTTCAAGTTGTGGCAGCAGACCTTTTTTACACAGATCTACCAACTACCTGTGGCGTTATTTCAATGACAAATGTCGTGAGTGCAGTATTAAGTCGAGATCGCATTTATGTAATGGCCTACGAGCATGCGAATGCTTGTTTATGTAACGAGTAAGTCTCCAACATTTATTAGATTTGCTAGGAATATTTATGAATGTCTCCAATAGACCTACAGAGCGGTATTAATACGTTTAAACGGCTATATGTTGTGTTTGCTGGTCTCACGCATCACACACCTGACAGTCAGTCAATCAGTCAGTATGTAATCTTTAAGGGGTAAACAAATGATGCACAGCACTACTACGGTTACAGAAAAGTTTGCGCTGTTACAGTTTGCTTACTTTTTAATACACTTTGGTGCGATTATAACATGCTATTAAAAAACACGACTGAATGTTTTAAATGAAAAGCTGTAATGTAGCCGTGGCGGGATCAATTTTGGCATGGTGCCCGCCATGGAAGAATGAATGTAGCAGAAATCATGTTATATAGTCAGTGGCGTAAAAATTACAATATCACTTGTTGTGATCATTTCTATGACAATATATAGCACAACAAAAATTATTTTTAGCAACAGGCCCGTACAAAAACACTGTTATTATACTTATTAGAATGCATATTTACATAATAACCCAATTAAAGTCCCATTTAAAACATCACAATTTCATACCTTGAGTACTCTTACAGACACCAATAATCCGATTTTAAAACAATTAAGGCAATATTCTGCGTCTGTAGATTAAGATTTTTGATTACCTTAATCAGACCTAAGTCATAATCAAACTAAACAGCAATCAGATTAAGACATGTGGAGTTTGCCGATTTTAGTGGCATTATTGAAGTGCTGTACAGACATGTAAAAGTGCTATTTTGGGGTTTCCGCCTGGATTTTGCCTACCCAAATTCAAAAGCTCCCTAAACACACATGCAGAGGTGTAAATGCAAAAGTTTGGCATCATTTTAAAGAAAACAATTAGAATTTTCATAAAACGCCGTTAAAAGTGATTCAAATAATTGTTTATGTTGTCTGTGTTTTAATTAATTCCTCGGAAAAGAGGTGCTTTTTTTTGTAAACTGAAATTTGAAAGTGTACCTTTTTGGTTCTGTGTGCTCTAGGTTGCTGTAATTAATTTTGGTGGTTCCTGCACATGCCAGTTATCAGAAATAAAAAAAAATTATCTATTTTAATCTATGCAAAAGTAATTCTATTCCAACTGATGAGAGAACGGAACCACTTTTGGGGGGGTATTGGGCCAGTACAGACCTTTAAGGGTGCTTTCACACCTGCCTTAAATAGTTCGGTTGAATCACACTAGAGTTCGTTTTCCCTCTTGGTGCGGTTCATTTGGGCAGGTGTGCATGCAGCGATCGTACTCGAGTGCACACCAAAAGTGGACCAAAAAAGCGTACCTAGACCTGCTTGAAGAGGTGGTCTTGGTACGGTTTCAAATGGATCCGCTGTGCATTATGGGATATGGAGGAAAAGTACTTGTTGACAGCGCTTTACCAACAGAGAGAGAGAGAGGGGAAAACATTACCTGATGGATTGTTGGTAATATTTCCGCAAGATGTCGCAGTTTAGCTACATTAATTCACACCTCCTCCAGAAGTGGTGTGTGATGCATTAAAACATTGTTTTCCAGCCGCAGCCGCGGTTCATTCTCGAAATGTATGTATAAAGCAGGGATACAGTCAGTCAGCGCAGTCGTCCCTCCATAGTAAAAAGCGTCACTTTGTGTCTGCCGGTCTGATTACTTGCAGGAGTTCGTTGGCATTTTCCCTCACGTGAATTCTGACCAATCAATAAGCAGTTTAGGAAATACGTTCAACAACATCTGGCCAATGAGTGATGTGGGTTTTGTCAGATGACTGCATTTTGGTTCTTTTCAACTGGTTCGAACCAAAGCAATCAGTGTGGTGTAAAAACGACCCTAAGCTGCAGAAAATGCTACAATGTATCATTTATTTCCCTTGGTCTGGACCAAGTAATGTGTAAAATGGGATCATGAAGGAAACATTCAAAAAGCAACTCATGCAAACACCTTAATCTTATTATTGTCTTAATCAGATTAAGGCAAATAATTTGATTACCGATGTCCATGTAAACATACTCATTGTTAGCATTAATATAAAATTTGGTAGTCAGCTGTTGACTAAAACCATTCATTTTGACTTGCATTATCCACTTGTCATAATGCAAATGTTAGTTTTCGAGTGCTTGAGATGTGATGAGTGTGTGTTTTTTGCAGTCTGAGCAGTCTGGTGAAGTCTGGAGATACGGGGAATGGAGTGTCCTTTCATTCGGGTGATAATGTGACCATGGATCTGGAGCCGCAGACTCTCGGGGTGTCCTTCATTGACAGGGCTATGCAGCTGGTAAATCTCCATCATTTCACGCTAACTGTTTAGTCGGGGAGGAATGGGGGGGTTCAAACTACTCATCTAAAATGAGCTGAAATAACGCAATTCAAAAACAGCACAACTTAATTGTTTTATGTTCAGCCCTCTTAAATTTTAGTTAACTTAATCAATTTGTGTTGGGACAACATGAATGATTTGTGTGGAACCCTGCATTTTTTAAAGTCTATCCAGGAGTGTATTTAGTAATTTGGGGCCCCGAAGCAATTCCAGCCATAGGGCCCAGAAGACTTAATATGCCCCCTTTGTATTTATTTATTTGTTTGTTTTGCTGTCTTTTTCTTATATTAATTAATAAATGTATTTATCGATTTTTATTATATAAATTATTTTATATTTATTAAAATATATACACTTATGCATATATATATTTATATATATATATATATATATATATATGTATGTTTATATATATGTTCATATAGAAATATATATGCAAATTAGCATGTTTAATTAAACATATGCTATCAACTAGACATGTTTATTTGCTGTTTAAAGTACCCAATTATTGACCGCTGCAATTCACTAATAAATATCATTCAATATTTACATTTTTTTATCTTGTTTCTCTGTTATTTATTATTAGGATGAGAATTTTGCAGACCCTGGACGACAGCCAATTACGTTTGAAAATCCTCTGTACTCGACTGCAGCCGCTCCGTCCAGTGATCCTGCAGTAATACACGCTACACAGGTATTGTTACCGCTACAGAACTCTCTAGAAATGGCTAACAGGTGCGGGTCTTTAGTTTTGTGTTTCTGTGCTTCACTAAAGGTCACTGTGAACGTCAGTGCGGACCAGGTGGACAATAACTTCTCAAACCCCACATATCAGCAGGCAGTGGAGGTGAAGAGCGAACAAGTAGAGGAGAAAAACACACAGGTAAATAAAGTGACCACATTCATCATTTTAGCCATTATGTTAACACACTATTTTGTTTTGTTTTATTATGTTTTTAAAGATTTATTCATTATTTTATATTCATAATATATTTTCTTTTTAATTTTAATCTAAATTTGATTTCATTTATTTAATATTATTATTTGTTGTTTTATTTTGTTTTTATTTATTTTAGTATATTTTATAATTAATATTTTAATTTATATTATTTATTTTACATTTATACTTATTTATTGTTTATTTTTATTGTAATATTAGTTACAATTTGTACTTTATTTTATTATTTAGACTATCTAATTTTATAATTTGTTGTTTTATTATTTTTATAAAATATTTTATTTTATTTTATTTATTTTACATTTGATTTTAATTTTATTTAAAAATATATTTTATTTTATTATATAGATTATGTTTTAATTTATTTTTATGTTAATTTTTTTCCAAATCCTATTTTAATTAATATGATTCATTTTACATTTCAATTATACTTATATTTTGTGTTTGTTATTATTTCTTTGTAATCTTTAAAAAGGATATTATATTTTATTATTTGCTGGTTTGTTATAATTGTATGATTTTTCTAAATAAAAGTATTATTTATAAAACTTATTTTACAATTAATTTATACATAACTTTTGTGTTTATTATTTATTTTCTTTTTATCATAAGTTTGCTTAAAAGTGTTTTATTATTTATTTGATTTGATTATTTGTTGGTTTATTATTTAATATTATTTTAGTATTTTATAAATAATATTTTGATGTACATGATTAACTTTAGATTTAAATCATACTTATATATTGTGTTTATTTATTAATTTATTTTTTTGTATTATATTATTTTGTCATTTGTTGGTTAATTATTTATTATAATTTTATAAATAATATTTTAATTAATATGACTTATTTTAGATTTAAATTATAATTATATTTTGTTTATTATTATCTTTTGATTGTAATTAATTTTTTTGCATTATGTTATTTTATTATTTGTTGTTTTATTATTTATTCTTATTTTATTTACATTTAAATTATAATTATATATTGTGTTTATTTAATCAAAAATATATAATGTTATTATTTAATTTTCCTTTTACTGCAGAATAATTACATTTTTAAACCTAACTTGAATTCTATCTGTATTTTATTTTAATCAGGAGTCCAAATGGAGTTTCTTTAAAAGAAAACTGAAGCCAAGCACAACATTTGAAAACCCTACTTATTCAGAGGTGAGCAGCAAGAAAACGTTACTTCAAATACATCCATATATACCTATATCTAAATATATATTCAACAAAGTTGTTTTACACAGAAGGCACAGAAAACTTTGATCTAAATCAGCTAAATAATATGTAAAAAATGAGCGAATCATTTAAGAACGACCCACCACTACAAGATGCTTCTCATTTAATGTGCTTGAGCTCAACCACTCTCACTGGCAGAGCTGTGATAAACCAAACAAAACACCATTGGCTGTTATTAACCTAAATATTAACCTTAAATTAATAAATGACACTTAAAATACAAGCGCTGAAGCGCCTGCCGGAGGGCAGGAGAGAAAACTGTCTGTGAGCGGGCTGAAAGGTGTCCTTCAGAATACTGCGAGCTCGGCGCAAACAGTGTTTCTTCTGGATGTCCTCTATGGCTGGTAGTGTGGTCCCTGTGATGCGATGGGCAGTTTTCACCACCCGCTGCAGTGCCTTACGCTCAGCAACAGAGCAGCTTCCATACCAGACTGTGACACAGTTTGTCAGGATGCTCTCTATTGTGCAGCGGTAGAAGTTCACCAAGACGGCTGATGAAAGCTGGTTCTTCTTGAGTTGTCTTAAGAAAAATAGGCACTGGTGAGCCTTATTGGTCAGGCTGGAGGGGATTTCAGATGTGCAAACTATTCACGTTTGCAGATTGTCAGATTCGTCACTTTTTCACAGCAACAAAACATGCCCATGCTGAATAAGGATTCTTATTACTTGGTGTCAGTGTAAACATTATCGATTTTAATATCTCTGTAGCAGAACAGTATTTAACTAAAATTAATGTAAAGAAATAATTATAATTGACATGTCAACACCGGGATTCGATCCCAAGTCAAAAGGTTCTGCACAAGTATCAACCAACCTATCTAACTGAGCTACTTGGGTCTACAGGTTGGGTTGGTTTTGATATCTTTATCAGTCAACATGTGCTGTGCTTTGATTGTTTCCATGTACTTGCATTTACATGTTTCTACGCACTCTCACGCTGATATTTTTTCAGAATAGCTCTAATATGTTTTAATCGCAGTTGGTCAAACCATGATTTCTATAGTTGTAGACTCGTGGAAACCTGTCTACAAAGTCACACACGAGCTGGATATTATTGATATTTTCCAGTGTGTGTGTTACCTTCCACGTCACTTCCGGTGTGTGGTCCATTCCCTTTCCGTAAGGAATCTGTAATTGTAAATTTGTTTCGGGATTTGTAAAAGTGTTTTGCGTCTTGATTTTTTTCTAAAATGTAAATTTGTTTCGTCCTTGGTAAAATAGTTTTTCCTATGTAATTGTGTCTGATGATCGGTAAAAATGTTTTTCAAAATGTAAATTTGTCTCGAGCTTTGTATAAGTGTTTCACACTTTGTAATGTTGTTTTGCACTTCCCGGCCACCGTACTGCTCACCTAATGCTTACATTCATAATATTTATATTTTTTGCTAATTAATAACCACCTCATGTGGAACTCTGAATCTGTGTCTCATTTCGGAGCCTGCTTCCGTCCACTGGATGTCGCATTTCAGTTGCGGAAACATACTTTGAGAGCATTTCTGACTGAAGGAATGAATAAAAATACGCTGTTTTCCAGCAGGCCAACCCAGGGTGCTGAAATATAGTTGGCTAAATTGGCATTGGGTGGGTTAAAATAACCAAAACAAAGACAGAAGTTCCAGCACATAACCCACATGTTCAAAGCAGAATATCTGACTTCAGCATTGTTTTACAGATGAACAAGAATGGTATTTTTATGCTTTGAAGAGTCAAGGGACTTTGGATTACGTCAAGCATCAGATAAAAAAATGCAGATTTGACAGGAGCTTTAATGCGGTTGTGTTTGTTGTGTCAGATGCAGGATGAGCAGACTCCCGGAGCAGCAGACAGCAGCTCTACAGCAGAGCCGTCTCCGTTTGTTCCTCCCAAACCTCCCAAACGAGAGAAACTGAGCACATTTACACCCACAGAGGACACTTTCAGAGACACGGCCAACCTGGTGAAAGAGGACAGTGACATATGACACTCACACACACTCACGGGAAATACAAAGACACACTCCCTTTGCACAGAATCTATTTTTATATGCAGCCTGCATACGACAGAAATCAAATGAAGATTATTTTTGAAACAGAAAAAAAAGAACCTATAGATGAGAATAGATGAAATATTTGTATAGCCGACAGACAGAAAAGAGACTTTGCCTTCTGATACGTTGTATGCCAAGTCATGTTGTATGATTCTTTTTTATTATTATTATTATTATTATTGTGACGTCGTATTTGTATATCTTTGCACTGATGCTGCTGAAGGAGAATGTTATTGAATATTTTGTACATTTGTAAATTGAGAAGATTTTTTTTTGTTTGTTTTTTGGGTTTGATAAGTATCAGACATTATTATGAAATAGATTATTACTTATTCCTGGAGATTCACACACAGAGACACATGTATATGCCAAGAATACGGAGTAAAAGTGCTTTGAGAGCCGACTGAGACTTCTGCCGTTTGATCTGATTATTTTTAATAATGTTTTTTTTTTACACTATCTGACGAAAGTCTTGTCGCATATCCAAGTTTTTGGAACAACAAATATTAACTTGACTTCTAGTTTATCATTCAGTATCAGAAGTGGCTTATATGAAAGGCAAAGGCCTCTAGATTTCGCTTATTTTAACAAAACAAAATATGATCATGTCTTGATTTTTAATGATTTAATTAGGGCAGTAAGGTCTGACTTTGCTTAGACAAAAGTCTTATCACTTAACAGAAATAATGTCCAGTATAGAATAAGTCATGGTGCAGTGGAAACTGAATACTGTGTATGACTCCCTTGAGCTTGGAGGACTGCATCCATACATCTCTGCAATGACTCAAATCACTTATTAATAAAGTCATCTGGAATGGCAAAGAAAGCGTTCCTCCAGGACTCCCAGAGTTCATTAATAATCTTTGGGTTCATCTTAATCCCTTCTTCATCTGACCCCAGACATGCTCAATAATGTTCATGTCTGGTGACTGGGCTGGCCAATCCAGCTGCACCTTGACCTTCTTTGCTTTTAAGAACTTTGATGTGGAGGCTGAAGTATGATGCTGCGTTCACACCAGACGTGGAACGCGCGTCAAGCGCAAGTGATTTACATGTTGTCAATACAAACGCGCGAATTGATATCCTGCGGCGCGATGCGAATGACGTGAAATGCCCGAATGGCATGGTGCGAATGGCACAATACGTGCGAATGCCGGGATACGTGCGAATTGAGCATTTTGGCGTTGAATGGACTCAACGCGCGTTTTGCGCAAATCACTCTAATTCGAAAATCTGAACTTCAGCGGACATTCGTGCCTTGTTAACCAATCAGGAGCTTGCTCTTATGGGGGGCGTGATTATGACGTGTTGCCTGCTGTAGGTGTCCCGGGGGAAATCCTCCAGCCAACAAAAACAAAAACTGGGCTCGGCTCAGTCAGAAGCACAGTTGAAAGCCTCCGTCAACCAGGTACATTTTTCTGGAGGAGTTTATGAGGTAAAAGAGCTGGATGCACCTCTGAAAGAATCTAGTGGACTCCAACACGGTCCTAATTGTATCGACGCTGTTTTTTTATCCTTCCTAAAGCACATAAACACTGTTATTTTCTTCATAAAATCCATGTTAGCCATTTAGCAACAAAGCTAGAGTCACCGGGCAGACAGAAGCCCTGCCCATCACGCGAATCTGCATCTGTTCTGAAGTTAATTTGACACGCGAATGAAGCGGGGTTTAACGCGCGAATGAAGCAAGTAAAATCAAATGTTCACTTGGCTATTTACGTGCGAATAGCGCGATTCATCTGCGCATTCCACATCTGGTGTGAACACAGCATTAGAAGGAGGGCTATCTTGCTGGAGAATTCACCCTCTCCTGTGGTTTGTAATGTGATGGGCAGCACAAATGTCTTGATACCTCAGACTGTTGATGTTGCCATCCACTTTGCAGATCTCTCGCACACCCCCATACTGAATGTAACTCCAAACCATGATTTTTCCTTCACCAAACTTGACTGATTTCTGTGAGAATCTTGTGTCCATGCAGGTTCCAATAGGTCTTTTGCAGTATTTGTGATAATTGAATCAACCTTCTGCCACTTTTCCAAATGATCAACTTAAAATTTGTTGCTCTTACAACTGGGATCGACGACAAGACTTTTGTCAGGTAGTGTACATTTCATACTGTATGTAACTATACCTCATCTGTCTTGACTGAAGAAAAATAGCAAAACCCTACAATATGAAGGAAATATCAATCATGTGATGATCAACTGAGTGATATTAAAGCAATGGTAAAAAAACAATATGAATAAAAATGGTCAATATTTACTCACCCGCTCCAGAAAAGCATAAAATCATGCTGTCTACAGCTATAGAGTATATACAGTAGGTGGTTATAGTGGTTAGCACCTCACAGCAAGAAGGTCGCTGGTTCGAGTCCCAGCTGGATCAGTAGCCATTTCTGTGTGGAGTTTGCATGTTCTCCCCGTGTTGGCGTGGGTTTCCTCCAGATGCTCCGGTTTTCTCACAGTCCAAAGACATGCGGTACAGGTGAATTAAATCGACTAAATTGGCCATAGGTGTATGAGCGTACATGAGTGTGTATGGGTGTTCCCCAGTACTGGGTTGCAGCTGGAAGGGCATTCGCTGTGTAAAGTTGGATAAGTTGGGAATAAAGGGAATAAGTCAAAAAGGTAATGAATGAATGAATACAAAAGCTTTCAATGAAATGATGGTGAGGAAATAATGTCAGAAATGATTCAAATGCATGATCCAGAGGAAGAGACTCTGATTAAAGAAAGTCTGAAATGATACTAATGCAGTGACATAAACACTTCAGGATAGAATCTGAAGGCTTCTAAACTTCTGTTTATATATTTGATTGATACTTGACATTGCCCTGTTTACTTTCTGATTATGAATATATCCTGTTTCTGTGACCTGGGCTGAAGATTTTTCATATTTACTTTCCTGTATGATGAAGTTGATAGTAGTAAAATCACTTTCTTTTAAATGATTCTATATATGTATATATATGATAATGTATATTATTCCTGCATATGTGACTATAGAAAATACTAAAGGCAAATTAACGCTGCTGTGAAAAGAAAATCGAATAATTTTTATTATTTTTTATTTTTTGGAAAATGTGAAACATTTTGTGTAAATGTTTCTTTTAAAAGAAAAAAAAATCTCTTAAATTAATATGAAAAATACTTAGATCTCAAACAAATAATTGACACTTTTTTGAGTGCAAGTAAAGCAATATCTTGAATGTCCTGATGTCTCTGTTTCACTGATGGAAGTATTAAATATTATAAATAATAGAAAAATATTAAAGTCATTTGAGTTATTATCCATATTTTACAATATTTATTAATATCTATTCTGTAAATTTAATACATTTACAAATCATATATTTTAAAATTGAGAAATTGGCTTTGACTTTAAAATGGATTTCAAAGTGCAAGAAGAAAACACACTTTTAGCCATTTTGTACAGATTCATGTGAACAGGAATATTTTTTATGTTATTTTTATGCTGAACTTATTATATTTTAAAGATAAAGGCTTTTTGAAGTCTTTTTTATAGTATATATATATATATATATATATATATATATATATATATATATATATATATATATATATATATATATATAGGTGTAAACAGACTACTAATTTAAAGCAATTTACAAAATATTTACTGAAGTATTTAATAAAAGTAGATCTAAATTTTTCGAAAATAAGTTCGAAAATAAGTTCCTGTCAGCCTTGAAAACCCAACCGATGGTCTAAATAAGTAATTATAAGTAATTGACGAGTGTCGAGTTAATTAGTGGAGACAGGTGGAGCTGCTAACTGAAGAGACTTTAAAAGCCCTCCGAAACTCTGTTTACTTAAAGAGCTAAAGAAGTTATGGTGGGTGGGAAAAGTGGTTGTGGAAAAAAATTTAAAAAAAAATAAATAAATAAAAATAAAGTCTATGTATATATTTTTGTGTATACAGTAAGTTGAGAAGTAGACAAATATAAATATTTATTTATGTATAAGGTCAGTGCACCTTGCTTGAAGAACTTTTTAGATTTTAATAGGAGTTCAAGAAAAAAAAGCAGGAGAGGAACTGTATTGGTTCTGGAGCTTAGTGAAAAGAGTTTGAATTTTATTTCATTCAGCCAGACATTTAACTTGAATCAAGCGCTCCAGTCTATCTGTTTACCTACATTTGTATTGAATTATACTGTTTGAAAAATATTATAGTTGACAAAAACCTTTCCCCATCTTTTGTTTCCTGAAACATAAAGCTAGATTAGTCGGCTAATTAGTTTGCACCATTCTTGACATGAAGGCTGCTTGACTTTAATTTTATGTAGCCACGTTTTCATAAAGAATCTGAGCATGGTACTTAAAACCCAATGTGTGCAATTTAAACTGAAATTGAACGGACTAGCCAGTGACCATATGATATATATATAGATAGATAGATAGATAGATAGATAGATAGATAGATAGATTTTAGAGTTTTTTTTTTTTTTTATCAAATAACTTATTTTGTGCATAATATTTTAGAAAAGGATCAAATGTAGCCTGAAAATCTAATATAAGTGAGCAGCTACAATATATAAAAAAAATAGCTGACATGTTTGTAATTTGAAAAAAAATGTATGTAAACGGTCACTGGCAATATTTTGAAATGGATGTTGTACGTTTGCATATGTAAGACATATAAACATGTTCTCCAATCAGGAACATTTATGTCATATATGTAATTTGCATACTGTATAACACAATATATCAGATTTCTATAGAGGATTTACCAACCTACATAATGCATGACGTCACATGTATTCCTGGTTGCAAAAAGAGACCGGTTGCAATAGCAAACATGTCGTGTTGTGCGGTAGGACGCTAAATTTGAAAATAGAGAACTTAAATTTTACCGTACACCACACTGCTTTTCATGCCAACCGGAAACGTCTTTGGCTAAAAGAGAGCTGAATGAAGAGACCACCCAATTAAAAATGCTGGACTCATGTTCTCATGTCATATCAGGTAAGATCACGCTATGCTGAATCAGACACATTTCTCATTTTTGATTGCAACAATAATTTCAGCAAAAACAGTTAAACATGGTGAATTACACTGATGAAGAATGACATGTAAAAGTGTAAGTTCACATACCCTGCTGTACAGGTGTAGTTTGCTGTCTAAATACAGTTGTTTTGCTTGTTGATGACTACGCAGGCCTTGTATAACGTCCGTCTTCTTTCCTTGTCTTTGGAAGAACCTCGGTTTTTAGCACTACATAGTTTTGAATCTGGTAATCATGGAACATTTATTTCTTGCACGTGACCACACAGAACAAAATTGTTGGCATCCAAAGACTTGTAGGCCTTTAACTTCTCTCTTGTAAAATCACTTGAAGCTTCAATGAGATTGTATATTTCGGGCTGGATCGTTGGCCATTTTGTCTTATCCAATATCTATCGGTAGGCTGCTATCGCAAATGGACCTGTCAGATGAACACCTCTCACTTTAACGTTAATTTTGCCAAATCACTGTGCTTAACACCGGGTGACAAGATGTTATAATACGCTGAAAGCATTATGTAAATAATATATATAATATTTAATCAATACAACTTATTTCTAAGACAACAACAAACTCTGTACCACATCGGATGTCATTCCCTCACTGTAAATGCTAGCGCTCAGGGTCGCTGCACGCACATCCTGAATGTTTACAAAAATAATAATTTGTCTACATGGGAGGGCTTGTATTTAGTTGCATGAAAAAAGGGTCACATATAAACATCAATTTTTCTTTTAATGAAATGTATGAATTGTTCAGAATACAGCATTTAATACAAGAAATGAGGTAAATCTTATGTCGTACTAACTTCAACTGCTTGATAGCTGAAAGTTTGCACGCAGATTGACTGCTCTGCTGCTCTTCAGAGTGGTTTTGAAGAAGGCACCAGGGCCTTAGTGATGATGTCCACTACACACGTGGGCAGATAGGACAGCGGGATCCACAGGAACTTTGCGTCCCAGCCGGCGGCATAACGCGTTCGAGGATGACGTGCAGAAAGTGCGTGCCGCATACATGACGTCACTTTGGAGAGGTCGCTGCTGGCCAACATCTTGTGGGAGAACTCCAGCACTTTCAGATCTGACAAACACACAAAACTGCATCATTATAGTCAATACAGCATCTAAACAGGGATTAAAGTGAAGCGGAAGTTGCAAAATATCGTCTTTGTTTTCAGCAAAAGAAATGATTTCAAAGAGCCCAGCAGACACACAACATTATAAGACATTATTATTAGGTTAGATTTAGGTCATGATGTCAGGTGACCAAAATTCAATGTCTAGCCAGCGTCTAAGGACAACGTTATTTTGATGTTCAATAAAGAAGTTGATATTTGGTTGATTTTAGGTTGTGTTAGAAAGTGACCAAAATCCAACGTCTAATAGATGTCGTAGTCATAACGTCCACACAACGTAAACCTGTAACATGATTAGATGTTGATATTTGGTTGATTTTAGGTTGTGTTGGAAAGTGACCAAAATCCAATGTCTAATAGATGTCGTAGTCATAACGTCCACACAACGTCAAGGTGTAACATGATTAGACGTTGGTATTTGGTTGATTTTAGGTTGTGTTGGAAAGTGACCAAAATCCCATGTCTAATAAACGTCGTAGTCATAACGTCCACACAACGTCAAGGTGTAAAATGATTAGATGTTGATATTTGGTTGATTTTAGGTTGTGTTAGAAAGGGACCAAAATCCAACGTCTAATAGATGTCGTAGTCATAACGTCCACACACAATGTCAAGGTGTAACATCATTAGATGTTGATTTTAGGTTGTGATGGAAAGTGACCAAAATCCCATGTCTAATAGATGTTGTAGTCATAATGTCCACACAACGTAAACGTGTAACATGATTAGATGTTGATATTTGGTTGATTTTAAGTTGTGTTAGAAAGTGACCAAAATCCAACGTCTAATAGATGTCGTAGTCATAACGTCCACACAATGTCAAGGTGTAACATCATTAGATGTTGATTTTAGGTTGTGTTGGAAAGTGACCAAAATCACGTCTAATAGATGTCGTAGTCATAACGTCCACACAATGTAAACGTGTAACATGATTAGACGTTGATATTTGGTTGATTTTAGGTTGTGTTGGAAAGTGACCAAAACCAATGTCTAATAGATGTCGTAGTCATAACGTCCACACAATGTCAAGATGTAACATTAGATGTTTATATTTGGTTGATTTTAGGTTGTGTTGGAAATTGACCAAAATCCAGTATCTAATAGATGTCATAGTCATAACGTCCACACAACGTCAAGATGTTACATGATTAGACGTTGATATTTGATTTTTTTTTTATGTTTGACGTCAGACATTGATGTCAGTCTGACCTTGGATTCTGACGTAAACCCGATTTTTATTTCAAAATAAAATGTAATGTCCCCACGACGTTGGGGTACAATGTCAATATGATGTCATGTTGTCGTCCTGTGCCTGCAGGGTGGTTTTAGATTTGAAGTAAATTTGGCCAGAATTTTCATTTTTGATTGAACTAACCCTTAAAACCCCCTTACTAAAGTCTGTGTGAACCTGAAGTTGCAGAGACTTTTATTTCAATATGTTGATGAACTTCTAACAGTAACAGAAAGCCCCCTACTCAATATTCTGTTGCGCATCATTCCATTATAGCGAAGCAACAATTGTTGCTGGAGGGGATACAGCCGAGACAGGAAATTAATTATTTATACCACTAAATTGAATTAATTGTATTTTAAATAAATAATTAGATAATATATATATATTTTTTTGTATAATATATGTTGTACTTTATTTCAATTTGCATATCACGGCAGATTACACAGTTACAGAATAATAATTATGAAGACACTGCAAACTTTTTACACCCTATTCTCTCTCCCATCAACCCATTCACTTAAAAATTTATAAAATAAATAGACAAATAAATAAATAAACAAACAAATGAGAACAAAAAAAGGATATATTTAAATCAGGTAAAAAGTGTAACCCAGGTCTGTTTAGACCATGATACTCCCCTACTCCTTCTAAGCTTGTTGTTGGAGTAGCAGCCTGCCAACATGTACATTGTACTTCAGGAAGTTATTAAAAGGTCTCCAGATATCTTCAAACACATTTTGTTTCCTTTTGACAATGTATGTGATCTTTTCCATTGACACGTGTGACGCCATTTCTTTAATTCCCTTTCCCATTCTAGGTTAATTTTATATTTTTCCAATTAAGAGCAATAATAAGTTTAGCTTGTAAAACACACGTCTATGAATCTGACCTCTTTGCTTTGTGAGACAGGGCTGACAGGATATATACCCAGGATAAATTTCTTTAGATCCAATAGTAATTCGTTTTGATAAAATTTGGTCAGTTTTTTCAATAACACCTTGCCAAAAGGGTTTCACTTTCACACATTCCCATATACAGTGATAAAGTCTACCTCTTACCTCTTTACACTTTATACAGGTATCTGGAATATTATCGGTAAACTTGTGTAATATAGCAAAAGTTATGTATGTTCGCATTAACCATTTGTACTGTACGGGTTTTAGCCTTGATTGTTTGTATCCGAGCTTTCTTACATGCCTCATTCCAATCCTCTAGAGATATTTCAAAACTCCTCCACTGTTCATAAAAGAATTAAAATCCTTTTCGGATTCCCTTAAAATGAAAATGTTTGCTGTGTCCCAATTCGCATAGTTATACTACACCCTAAAAGTATGTACTCTTTTTGTGAAGGAAAAATGTGTACTCTTGAGTGTGTAACAGAAGCGTATTCTAGCTTTGGGACATACTACTTCCTACACAGATTGCTGTGTTGCTTAGTTATGAGCCCTGTCAATCGTCCACACATCATCAACGTTTCTGGCATATTTAATTTCCTACCTTACTGGAGAAGCAGCAGCAGAAAAATCTGCCATTCACGAGTCTTTCATGCAGAAAAATCTCCTCAGGTCTTTGGATAATTATGCATTCTGAAGTTAATGGCCAAACACGTCTTTATAAAGATTCACGTTGTTGTTGCAGATGAAATAGAACACAGAAAACGCAATTAAAATATTTTCCAGAGGGCTAGACATTAAGTCATACAAACATCTTTACAGAAGCCTCTACTTGATGGTTGGACTAGTGAGTCCATCATGTTTGTAGTTTATTTACACTTTTCACCCACGTTTTTAGTTCTAATCTAATCATGTCCAACATGCAATATACTGTGGGCAAGATCAGCGGTTAGAGTATGTACTGTTCTACACTTGAAGTTTTTAACGGAAATAGTAAACCATCCTGGAACATCTGGCATACTCTTTACTACATACTACGATTTGGCACATATGGAATTCTATTTTCAAATAATTTTAAGGACGCTTAGTACACAATTTGGGATGCAGCATAAGAATGCCATGATGTTTAACTTATTTGTATTTTGGCCCGTTTCCACTGAGTGGTTCAATTCGGTGTGCTTTTCCTCTGTCAAAAGCAGGGGTCACCAAACTTGTTCCTGGAGGGCCGGTGTCCTGCAGATTTTAGCTCCAACCCTAATCAAACACACCTGAACAAGCTAATCAAGGTCTTACTAGGTATACTTGAAACACCCAGGCAGGTGTGTTAAGGCAAGTTGGAGCTAAACCTTGGAGGGACACCGGCCCTCCAGGACTGAGATTGGTGACCCGTGATCAAAAGATACCTAGAAGCAAACCGTACCAGACCACCTTCCTTTGCAAAGGGTACTTAGCAAAACAAATGGGAACCAAAAGGTAGAGCAAGACACGCAACTGAACGCTATTGGTTTACAGACATATGTCACTTTCTCGTGCAACAAGCCAGAAGAATGAAAACAAAGGAACCACCATTTTAGAATACACAGCCGAAACGTTACATTGTAATAATATACACATATAATAATGAGCCATGATCGACCTGAGCTCAAACAAACCTTGTCATCTTCTTGATGAGCAACCACAATGCCAAGAAGAAGAGCTGAACTACCCTGTGCTCCATTGTGTTTTTACAAGGCCGTCTAAAGCGCAAGCGGTTTTACTTTCTCGCATACGCGAGACACGCGTTACTATTTTAAATAACGAACTTCTTGAGCTGATGATGATAATAACGTGCGTGATTATTGAAGTGCTTCTGACATCGGATCCTTTCAGCAATGGACAACCGCGAGAGTGAAGTGTGAAAAAAAACAAAAGAGAAGCTGGAAAAAATAGAGCAAATGATTCTTTCAGCAACCTAAAAGATGAACAAACTGCCATGTTTAACTATTATCATCACCGTTTGGACTACTATGAACTCACAAGGATGGAGTTACTCTCTAACAGAGGTTACATGTGCTGCTGAAGATTAAAGATACAGATGAGAGGTTTGACTGTAGGCTATATGTTGCATGCTTTTGAACCCAAATAAGAACTAAATGTATGCTGTGTGCAGATTTTTTGTTATTGGTAACATATCAGAGACTGTTAGGGTCTGTATGTGTTCATATGTTGCATTTATTATTTTATATAATCGCAGATGTTACAGTAGGTTGTTTCACACTATCATTGATCTGCAGTTATAATCAAACCATGTTCATAGAAAGATTAGTAATGAACATTCATACACAAGTATTTACGTGTATAAAGTATCTGTTTTGTGAGAAGAGCCTCGGATATGTGAACGACCTCTCCAGCTTTGTTGACATTTCCTTGAACGTCAACTGAATCTACACCGTACTTTGTCCCGGCTGGGCCAGTTGGCTTTTCTGTGAATAGTTTGCATGTTCTCCTGTGTTGGTGTGGGTTTCCTCCGGGTGCTCCATTTTCCCTCACAGTCCAAAGACATGTGCTATAGGTGAATTGAATAAGCAAAATTGGCCATAGTATATGAGTGTGTATGTAAACTTCCCAGTCCTGGGTTGCAGCTGGTAGGGCATCCGCAGTGTAAAACATATGCAAGATAAGTTAGCAGTTTATTCTGCTGTGGTGACCCCTGATAAATAAAGGTACTAAGCTGAATGAGTAAATGAAACGTATGAATTGTTCAAAATACAACATTCATTTTAAGAAATGAGGTGAATCTGATGTCAAACTAACTTGAACTGCTTGATGGTTCATTTGTGAGATTGTGGGACTTACAAATATGGAAATACCGTAATATATACAGTAAAATAGACCTTTGTTTAATTGCATTTATAATGAGTCCATGTTGCAAAAAGCAATCGAATTGTTCAATCCAAAACAGCACACTTGAGCACAAATTGACTGCTCTGCTGCTCTTCAGAGTGGTTTTGGAGAAGGCACCAGGGCATTAGTGAAGATGTCCACTACACACGTGGGCAGATACGACAGCGGGATCCACAGGAACTTTGCGTCCCAGCCGGCGGCGTAACGTGTTCGAGGATGACGTGCAGAAAGTGCGTGCCGCATGCATGACGACACTTTGGAAAGGTCACTGCTGGCCAGCATCCTCATGGAGAACTCTTGCACTTTCAGATCTGACAAACACACAAAACGGCTTCATTACAGTCTGTACAACATCTGAACGGGGATTAAAGTGAACTAGAAGTCGAAACGGAATATTGAGTAGGTGGTGTGGCTTTTTTTTGCTCATCAATCGCTCAAAACAAAGCAACAGTTTTTGCTAGAAGGAATACAGCTGAGGCTGGAAATTAATAAGAATTATTTATATTGTTTATTATATTACACAAAGGCAGCTAAATAGTTAGAACTGTCGCCTCACAGCAAGAAGGTTGCTGGTTTGAGTCAAAGACGGGTCAGTTGGTGTTTCTGTGTGTAGTTTGCATGTTCTTCCTGTGTTGGCGTGGGTTTCCTCCGGGAGCTGCAGTTTCCTACACAGTCCATCTCCTCCATGAACCGCCACCTTAACGTGGTGGAGGGGTTTGAGTGCCTGAGTGATCCTAAGAGCTATGTTGTCGGGGACTAATGCCCCTGGTAGGGTCTCCCAAGGCAAAAAGGTCTTAGGTGACAGGTCAGACTAAGTGCGGTTCAAAAACTCCCTTTGAGTACAACAACAGTAAGGACCGTGACATCGCCCTGTATGGCGCACCCTTGAGCAAGGCATGGGGTTGGGGCTCATATACGAGTGCCTGGTAACCGGGTTTTATCCCAAGGAACTGGCTGGGTTGAGCCCGAAGGAATGACGTATGACCATCCACCTGCAGGAGCCATAAGGGGCTGGTGCATTGTGTAACAAGTGGTGGTTGAAGGTTAGGATCACGACAACATGATTGTCAAGCACAGAAACTAGCTCTTGGGACATGGAATGTCACCTCAATGTGAGAGAAGGAGCCCGAGCTTGTGCAGGAGGTGGAACGGTACTGACTAAATATAATTGGGCTCACTTCCACGCACAGCTGGGACTCTGAAACTCAACTTTAGAAGGGCTGGACTTTCTTCTACTCTGGAGTTGAAAACGGTGAGAGGCGGCAGGCTGGTGTGGGCTTGCTTATAGCTCCCAAGCTTAGCCGCCATGTGTTGAAGTTTTCCCCAGTGAACGAGAGGGTCGCCTCCCTGCGCCTTCAGGTTGGGGATAGGTCTCTCGCTGTGGATTGTGCCTACGGGTCAAACACCAGTGCAGAGTGACCAGCCTTCTTGGAGTCCTTGGGAGGGTTGCTGAAAGGTGTTAAAACTGAGGACTCTGTTGTTCTACCGGGGGACTTCAATGTCCACTTGGGTAATGACAGTGATACCTGGAGATTTGGGATTGGGAGGAATGGCCTCCCTTATCTGAATCCGAGTGGGGTTCTGTTTATTGGAATTCTGTGCTAATGTCCATAACAATCACCATGTTCGCGCATAAGGGTGTCTATCAGTGCACATGGCACCAGGACACCCTAGGGTGAAGGTTGATGATCGACTTTGTGGTTGTATCATCTGATCTCCGACCTTTTGTCTTGGATAATTAGGTAAAATAACAGGCAGAGCTGTCAACTAATCACCACCTGGTCATGAGTTGGATCCGCTGGCAGGGGGGTAAGCTGGACAGACCTGGCAGGCCCAAACGTATTGTGAGGGTCCTCTGGGAACATCTGGCTGAACCTCAGGTCAGAGGGACTTTTAACTCTTACCTCTGGAAGAGCTTTGACCATATCTTGACGAAGGCAGAAGACATAGAGACCGAGTGGTCCATGTTCTTCGACTCCATTGTTGATGCAGCTGTGGGGAGCTGTGGCTGTATGGTCTGTGCTGCATGTCGAGGCAGCAATCCACGAACCTGGTGGTGGGCACTGGAAGTAAGCGATGCTCTCTAGCTGATGGAGTCCTGCAGTGCTTGGTTGGCTTGCAGGACTCCCGAGGCAGCAACAGCAGTAATGTGGCCTATGTGCTTGTCTGTTGTGGAAAATAATGAGCTGAGCCGAAAGGCAAAGCTTTCGATTTACCAGTTAATCTAGATTCCTACTCTCACCTATGGTCATGAGCTTTGGGTCATGACCAAAAGGACAAGATCTCGGATACAAACAGCCAAAATGAGTTTCCTTCATGGTGTGGCAGGGTGCAACCTTATGGATAGGGTAACAAGCTCTGTCACCAGGGAGGAGAGCCGCTTCTCCTCCAGAAGAGGAGAGAAGTCAGCTGAGGTGGCTCGAGCATCTGTCTGGAATGTCTCCAGGATGCCTTCAAAGGGAAGTGTTCTATTTTTTGTTTCTGCAAACAACCAGAGGTTGCTGTACACACTTTTTGATGATCTCAAATTTCTCTCTCACATTCTCTTCTTGTATAAATCCACCAGAGGGCACAATATACACTTCAGCTAACAAGGCCAGCATGCTGTAGACTGACTCACCAACACACCCACCCACCCCCTTCTCTAAAAACCAATCAGTAGTGCTTTCAAAAGCAATCTAGAAAAAGAAAAGCCATTCCAGCTGTGTGATTTCACAATGTTTTCAGCCTGTTGTTTATTTAAATTTTTTATTCTTTGGTTTTCCCTAGTTTTTGGAACCATTCTTTGCTGGACTCAAACCCCGCTGTAACTCCACTCTGCATTCCAAGTCAACTGAGCAAACTGGTGACACGAGAAAAGCCATCTATACAGAGGTAAGCGTTCAGCTAGTAGCACTAAAAGGAACAGAAGCAGCATCATTAATGGCCACTAAGTGAAATGACTTAATGGGACTAGTGGCAGTCCTTCTCTGATGATGTCAGTTTGACAAATTCAGCCACAATATTTTTAACAACCTTCAAAACCTTCAAAAGCCTGGTTTGCAAAATAATTACATTTTCTACCCCACAAGGCTTATTTCTCATGTAGTTAATAACTAAAGCTATACTACGTGACCTTACATTGTTTCCATGTCACTTCTCGCGTGTGTTTGGTTGTTTGGTCGGACCGAGAAAAAGTTGTTAGCAATTCCTCCTATTGTAAAGTCATGTAGTGTGAAACCCCCTGTCGCCGATCCATCTTGCAGTGTAAACACAGCAGCGGCCGAACACTAGCCCAGATAGTCATGCAGTGTAAAAACATCTGTGATATGAGTACTTTAAAAATCGTGCAGTCTGAACTCAGCATAACTCCTTTTCACAAAAAAAAAAAAACATCCAAAAAACTATTCAATTGAGCATAAAGCTTTTTTTTTTTTTTTTTTTTTTTAAAGAAATAAGATATTTATAATCTAAATATTGGCTTTTCCATCACTGATTGATTTCTCATGCACATTATCACATTGTGATGGAATCCCAGGTATGACAGAACTTTTTTGGGTGAACTTTCCCGTTAATATATTTAAAGGGTCACGAAACACCAAAACACATTTTTTGAGCTGTTGACAGTCATATATGTGTCCCACACTGCTAAAAACACTATTAGGACACATATATCTCACTAAAAAGTGAAAATTGGTTTTTGCGTTATTTCAAGCAAATTCGTACTTCCGGTTTGAAACAAATTTTTGAAGCTGTGTCATGGCAGCGTGTATTCCAGCATGTGGACTGGACGTCTGTACCAAGGCGTCCCGTATTACGTCTCTGAGTGCGTTGCGTTCATTCATGAGTATGGCTTGGTTCAAACCAATCAGCGCGCTCTATTATGAATGCGCTGCAACTTCATTAATATGCATGCTAGCTTTCTTAGACTATACCTGAAACAGTGTTCAGACGGCAGAGAGACAACACACGTCGTGTTGCCAAAAGTTGTGGGAAAAGAATAAGAATTGTTTGGAGATACGGGTCACTAGTGTTGCTTTCGTAATGTGAAGGTTTTGTTTTCATTTTCTCTCTGTGTGAGCACTGCTGACCTCCTGAGTGCATCTGAGTTACAGAGAAATGATACGACGTGCGGTATCAAACATCCCAGCGTCTTTAAACACACTGTCTCCTCTGCGTGTGTGTTTGTTTGTACTCTGTCAGAAGCGCGAATGGCAACTCCCATTTTTATTCAAACCCTGCCCATTTTTAATCAAACCCTGCCCATTTTTATTCAAACCCTGCCCATTTTTAATCAAACCCTTCCCATTTTTATTCAAGCCCTGCCCATTTTTAATCAAACCCTGCCCATTTTTATTCAAACCCTGCCCATTTTTCCTCCCCCAACACTCCCACCCAAACAGAGCTAGACACACCCACTTTCCTGACTTTTTCCAAACTAGAGGTGTGAAAACATCCTGCTGAAATGGGGGGGGGGGGGGGGTTATGGCCCTTTAAAAATGTCTGAAATGAGATGACTGTCATATTTTCTTGGATTAGCACAGTTTGCATGAACTACTCTTCTAACTGAATGCATGATGTTTACATTTATGAATTTGCATTACTCCATCATCTGATTGTACTCACATTCCTGCAGGTAGGAGTCTCCGTAGTCTCTTCTGACCTGTTCTGGAAGATTACTCCAGCGTTTCTTCAGGTCGTCTTCAATCAGACCCAGATCTGTGACTTGCGTCTTGAAGAAACCTGGTTCAATGATGCTCACCTTCACTCCAAAATGGACCATATCCCTCCTGAACACAGTGAGAAAAGAAAAACATGATTTATTTGACATTATTAAGATTATTTTGAACACAAATGGGGTGGTATGGTGGCTCAATGTTTAATACTGAGCCTCACAGCAAGTGGGTTGCTGGTTTGAGTCCCGGCTGAGTCAGTTGGCAATTCTGTGTGGAGTTTGGTGTTCTCCCCATGTTCACGTGGGTTGCTTCCGGGTGTTCCGGTTTCCCCCACAGTCCAAAGACGTGGGGGAATAGGTGAATTGGATTAACTAAATTGGCTGTAGTTTATGAGTGTGAATGAGTGTGTGTGGATGTTTCCTAGTACTGGGTTGCGGCTTGAAGGGTTCAAGAGTTTCAAGGTGAATTTCAGAAAACATTATTGTAGTGACTTGTGAAGTTTCTCATGTTGTTTTAGAAATATGAAACAATGTTTTTTTTCAACAAGGCAGTTCATTCCACAGGGGCGAGCCCTGATAATTAAGGGACTAGATTTTTAATAAACAATTTTACTCTGTTACTTTTAAATTAGTATGTATTTAAGTTGAATTCCCAGAAAAAGCTTGAACTGATCAAATCCATGCTGAAAAATCCGTCTTAAACCAGCCGAGGTTGGTTGGCTGGTTTTAGCTGATTGACCAGGCTGGTTTTAGAGGGGCTTTGGCCATTTCCAGACTGGTTTCCAGCCATTTCAGCCTGGTTTTAGCTGGTCAGTCTGGAAAATGACCAGCTTAAAGCAACTAAAACCAGCTTGACCAGCCAGATTTAAGCTGGATACAGCTGGTTTTGACTGGACTGCCAGCCTGGTTAGGCTGGTCAAGCTGGTACAAACCATATGTGTTATTATGCAAATACTGGATCAATTTAAGCCAAGGATTCTCAATCCGTGGGCTGCGGCCCACTATTGGGCCTCAGCAATCCTGCAGGTGGGCAGCGAGATTAAAATTAGCTTAAATACTATATTATAATTATTTGATTTCATTATTAAATGTCGTATTAAAATGATCGAAGTAATAGCATTTCCCGTTTTCTGTGATTGAATAAGCTAATTCGGACTCTGTGCAAAAACAGCCTCACTGTTTATTACAGACAGGTGGCTAAATTTGCAACCGATGCGTGTAAACTAAGAGTACATTCTCAGTTGTATAAATCAAACTGTCATGCAAATGTAAGTGTAACGATGATTAGAGTTATAATAACCAGATCGCGCTTGACTCACCTCTGCGACTCGTACTTTATCAGAGTTGCACAAGTCCATTAATTCACAAACTATGCGTGCTCACTTTGTGTGAACACTTTATAATATCTGCATAGTTGTTCAAAGTAACGTCTTGTGAGGATTTTATAACTGACGCGCGTCCGTACAGCAGGATCTATCAAGACTCTGTGGTTTTTCAGTAGTGAACAGCAGTTAGCTGTTCCTGTCAGCGAACTCTAATAAATGTCCTATAATAATGTCCAGCTACAAACCAAACCGCCTCTGTTTCAACAGATTTAGGGTGTTTTTACTGTATTTTACATTTATTTTTAATGAATATGAAATGTAGATCAATAGATGAATAGTGGTAAGCCTAATTCAAAGCAGCAGCAGTTTTTTTTTACAAATACTCTGCAGTTGTAAAAAAAAAAAAAATAACTGAAATAAAGAATTCATGAACCTGTCTGTGCTTTTTTTACATATTAAAATATATTATTGTATTTTACATGTATTTATATATATATATATATATATATATATATATATATATATATATATATATATATATATATATATATATATATTTTTTTTTTTTTTTTTTTTTTTTAATAAAAGGATTTAGAAAAATAAAATAATAATAGAAGTCAAAATAAATGTTTTGCTAATAAATAAAGCCTTAAAGTAAGCATTTTCTATAGACAATCAGTTTGGGCCACTTTGCAACACAGTGAACAGCGAAAGCTTGCCTTTCGTGTTTGACACATTTGTGTGCGTATGAATGAAAGTAGGGAGGAAAGTGAACGCAGCTTAATTAAATTCAAAAATTAATCAGTGCAAGTGAATCCACTGAGGAAAAAAAAAAAACAGTTTGCTTTGCTAATCTTCAATCAAGATTTGTCCATCTGACCAATGGCAGTCCTTCTCTGATAATAGGATTTTTCGGATTGGCTGCAATATTCTCAGCCACGCCCCTCCAAATTAATATTTAATTAGCTTCAAGTGAAAAACAAGAGGAGGAGTGCAAAAATAAGCCCCGCCCACCAACTCAATATTCAGCTTCAGTTGTAAATACGTCATGATACTGAAATAAAAGCCAGTACTATTTTACGTTTTTTAAAAGATCTAAATTAAAAAGCATGATAAATAACCTTTTGAATGCACAATACACAATCTTGTTGTCCCTTCATGTTTTGAATTGAAGTATATTTTTCTTTTAGACGCCTACACACACCTCAGGCTGTCAGAAAAGGCCTCAACGCCAAATTTGGACAGGCAGTATCCTCCGCCAATGATTGAGAGTCTGCCCAAAATACTGGCCACGTTCACCACTCGACCCTGGGCCTTCTTCAGCAGAGGAAGAAACTTGAGTGTCACTGCGATCACACCAGTCAGATTCACATCCAGAACCTTCTTGAAGTCATGAAGCTGCATCCAGTCCATCGGCCCGATGGGCACAGAGACCCCCGCGTTATTCACCAAACCCCACAGGCCTGACATGCAAAAAAAAAAAAAAAAAAAAAAACAATCACACAAAGTCACTAAAGTATAAATATGAATACATGTTAGGTATATTATAATGAAAGTGACATATTTTATCTCTTCAATAGGCTTCTGTCAAAGTCATTTCTATGCTAATGTACTTAAAAATAGCTAAATCTGTGCAGAAAAACTTCTCTACTGAAAATTCAACCAATCAGAGAGTTGCTGTGAGCAAAGTTCAACATAAGAAATATTTAGCTCCGCCCTCTCCTTTTAAGCACAGTAAATGACATAACGCCCGATTTACACGGGGCTTCATCGTCAACGCTGGGGGCGTGTCTGAAGTTGGGGCTGACGCGATCATCATAGCAGTGTCAGCCAATAAAATTTGTCCGCAATCCCGGAAACACGAAGAGCTTTTGTTAGCTGAAAACTGAATAATTTTGAGATTTTTGTCAGCCAATGACTGGGTGAGACCACTTCCACGTACTGTATGACACTGGTCATATGTATTTGTTTCCATGACCCACGAGGTTTGTTGCATGTTTCTATCGTGATGCTGTCGGGCCGATGCAGTAAAGCTGTTGGTTTGCAGCAAGCATTTTTGTCGGGAGAGCTGTACGAGAATTGGAGTATGGTGGACTTTTGTCAGCTGAGTTCATTACCATTCAGACACATCGCCTATATCCTTGCTGCTGGGTTTGCACATTATTGAAATAGACAAGGCAAGAGACCTGCTGCACTGCTATCCACTGTGTCTGCATTCAGACCCGGGAATTGAGGAAGAGAGAAGCCCTCCTCATTTAACATGATTATCTTTATAATGATAAGTTGTGGTTATGTTTATATGAAATTACGAATAACATCTAGTAGGGATTTATTTCTTTGCATTGTAACTTTGTAACTATAAAATCACGCTTCTCCTCACAGTTTGTCTCTTATTTTGTGAGCCAGTTGTCTGCTTCCCTCTGCTTCCCGCCTGCTCTGTCGGCCACACCCACTCCTCCCTCTGCTTGCAGAGCTCCACCCCCATCATTAAGCATTTTTTGAAAAAATTCTGAGGTAGACTTAAACTGAAAGAGGAGGGTTTCAAAACCCTTCAAATGTCTTTGTCTTATACTCAAAGGAAGGCTTTGAAGCCAAACACGGTATAATAAATATTTAAAATGTTTATCACAAGTAGTGCTAGAATCCTCTTTTTTCTTATGATTTTTTCTTTGAGACAATCACACATCTGAAAACCAATCACGACTCAGAAACGGCCACTTAATGCTTTGTAGACACCTCTCACTCATCCAAGTGGCACTCACCTTTCCCGCCAGTCTCTCTGCGCACGTACTCCAGTGCACGATTGATGCTCGTGCTGTCGGTGACATTGAGCTGGAGCGTTTTCAGTCTGGGCGAAGCGGTGGCACGCAGTTTGGAGGCTCCGGTTTCGGTAAGACAAGCAGCGATTACAAGAAAACCCTGCCGGTCGAGCTGCCGTGCCACAAGGTTTCCAAAGCCGCTGTCGCATCCCGTTATCAGGACATGTTTCTCATGGATGCCGGAGATTTGACGGGAGTCTCTGAAGAACCAGACAGCAGCGATGAGGGCAATAACGGCCAGTGAACACCAGCAGGAGCACAGCAGATCAGCACAGCAGAACACCTGCGGTCATGGAGGAACATGGGCTCAATATACATGCTTACACATAGGATTTTCACTGGCAGACAATAAAGAGTGGTTTTTATTAGCACTGATTGTGCAATAAAAAACCTTCAGTTTAAAGTCTGTGTGAAATTATAATTTAAAATGTTTATTCTGCTAGCTCACATTATTACTTTTTTAGGTCAACAATTAATATGTGCAAGGTAATCCACTGAAGACACACAAAGTATGTTTGGTAATCTGACCATTTGCTTACTTTGCATTTGAAGTTTGCTGACACTTGCATTTGGATGACGTAAGGCACTATAAATAGAGTTGACGTTATGTCACACAACCAGCGATCGCTTCCCAGAGGATCGCTGGTTCTCACACAAACTCTCATGACTACATTTCCGCATTTCCCAGGACTACATTTTCATACATGCACTGCTCCCAAACACGCACGCCTGCTCATTCATCTATCCTGATTGCAAACACCAGCTGGACCTTGTTCACAGACTGATATCACTCCATTCATAAGCCACTCATTCACACTTCCAGTTTGCCGAGTCTTGTTTGCATTTTGTGACATTACAACGCGTTTCCCTGTCTTGTTTCTCCGTGTCTCGATCCTAGCCTAGTACCCTTGTTATCCTGTTTAGCCGCCTGCCTTTCGACCTTTTGCCTGTTTAACGTTTATGATTCTGGACTGCCTTAATATATCCGTTTGCACCTGATGACCACTGCTTGCTTGACATTGAATAAACCTGCATATTGGATCTTACCTCCTGTTGTCCTCTGTCACTCCAGCCCAGTCGGTAACAGAAGACTCGGCCGGAACATGGATCCAGCGGGTATTCAAATCATGTGTCTGCGTCAGGGAGCACGGTCCATCGAGGAGTATGTTGAGGACTTTGTCAATCTGGCCCAACTCACAAGAATGAGCGAGGTATGTCTCATGACATTTTTTCATGGAGGACTTTCTGAGCCGTTGTATTCCATGATGCCTTTGAACGATCCCCACTGCACCATCATGAACTACATCGATCTGGCTCTCCAAATGAGTGGATCTTCCTTCACCGTTGGCGAGGTGGAGGAAAATCCAAAATATCTTTTGGGGGGGGGCTGTAGAGAGCAAGACCCGCCGGCGACGGGGCTTGCAAATCAGTTTCCACAGCCAGCTCACAAGATGGCCGCTCCCAGTCAGCCAGCTCACAAGATGGCTTCCAGTCCCAAGTCTGTTCCTGCCCCTGAAAGGCCATCTCCAGTGCTGCCAGACCCTCCAGAGCTGCCAGACCCTCCAGAGCTGCCAGAGCTGCCAGACCGTCCAGTGCTGCCAGATTCTCTAGAGCTGCCACCGCCAGAGCTGCCACCGCCAGAGCTGCCACCGCCGCTGCAAGAGCCGACGCCGCAGCCAGCTCCTCAGCCAGAGCCGCAGTCAGCGCCTCAGCCAGAGCCGACGCCGCAGCCAGCGCCTCAGCCAGAGCCGACGCCGCAGCCTGAGCTTCCCGAACGGCCCTCCATCCCTCCCCCTGTTCCGCCTCCCGCCTGAACAGTAGTGGAGTGTCTGGAATCCACTCCTAGAGGGGGGGCTATGTCACACAACTAGCGATCGCTTCCCAGAGGATCGCTGGTTCTCACACAAACTCTCATGACTACATTTCCCAGGACTACATTTTCATACATGCACTGCTCCCAAACACGCACGCCTGCTCATTCATCTATCCTGATTGCAAACACCAGCTGGACCTTGTTCACAGACTGATATCACTCCATTCATAAGCCACTCATTCACGCTTCCAGTTTGCCGAGTCTTGTTTGCATTTTGTGACATTACAATGCGTTTCCCTGTCTTGTTTCTCCGTGTCTCGATCCTAGCCTTGTACCCTTGTTATCCTGTTTAGCCGCCTGCCTTTCGACCTTTTGCCTGTTTAACGTTTATGATTCTGGACTGCCTTAATATATCCGTTTGCACCTGATGACCACTGCTTGCTTGACATTGAATAAACCTGCATATTGGATCTTACCTCCTGTTGTCCTCTGTCACTCCACCCCAGTCGGTAACACGTTAACAGAGGTTCAGGAGCAGGACTACGCCCCAATTTGCCATCTCATCCAATCACCTACTCCCTAAACTAATTTAAGGCAGATCAGCCCTCTAGCACTGTTCATCTAGTTCTCTCAAACCCACCCACTGGCCCACCTTCTAAATGCTTGTTTCTCATTATCAATCTACGTATAGAACTCTCTCCTCCCTAGGTTGAATTTGTGGGTTTCATAATCACTAATATATTACGGAGACTGTACCCCCATTCTGAGTCTCTGGGCATCATCGTAGAATGCCTAATCAACCTAGCTACTTGCGTGTTATTCTCTTATTCCCATTTTCCTTCATCCCACTGTTTCCTTACCATCCCTCCTCCTCCATCCCTTTTCATCCCTATAATGGTCCATGCTGGTGAACTAGGCCCCTCTTACAGATACTTTGTATCTGTATTTGTATATATACTTTATATTGTAACCCTTGCCGGTCCTACATCACCCAACCCGCTCTGAGCTGGGATCGAACCGGCGACCTTCCGCATGGGAGTTGGTTGCGCAAACTAGGAGGCTTAAAGCCCATGCGTGAGCAAAAACACACCAAATTTGTGTCACTTTAAATGCAAATGAGTTGCTGCTTTCAAAAAGAGGGCAGAACCTGTACACACATTCCAGAGGTCACCAAATGTGTTCCAGAAGTGCTGTTATCATGCATAGTTCAGCACTAACTTGCCTCAACATACACACCTGCCTTGAAGTTTCATGCATATATCCAAATTAGCTACTATACCCTTAAATAATGCTCTACTGAGTGAGCTATTGACATCCAATGGTATCCAAAACCGTATTGTATGTTCTGGAGTGCACTTTAAAGTCCAATCAATTTCACAATGCATCACGATAATGAGTGTACAACCAATGTACTCTCAGGGTGCTTTACATCTGCCTTATTTAGTTCGGTTGAATCGCATTAGAGTTCGTTTTCCTTCTTGGTGCGGTTCGTTTGGGCAGCTGTGAATGTAGCAATCGCACTCGAGTGCGCACCAAAAGAGAAGAGGTGGTCTTGGTGCGCTTTCAAATAAACCCTGAAGCGGTTCGTTTGTGGTGAGAATATAATCCGAACTAAAACAGACCCAACCGCAAAAAGTACAGCGCCTTTTTGGACTAATTCAGCTGCCGTAGGCCGATGCACTGTGCATTATGCAATGTGGAGGAAAAATATTTGTTGACAGCGCTTTACCAACAGAGAGAGAGGGAAAAACATTACCTGATGGATCGTTGATAATATTTCTGAAAGATGACCCTGTCGCAGTTTAGCTACATTAATCCACGCCTCCTGAAGTGAGCTGCTATGCGCCATCGCTGTTTGCAATGCCTTAAAAACATTGTTTTTCAGCTACAGCTTGTGCTTCATTCTCGAAATGTATAGTTTGACTCAAGTGATGTGTACAAACTATATAGTATACTATGATCAGGGATATAATCAGCCAGCGAAATCGTAGCTCCATAGTCAAAAATGACATTTTGTGTCTGCCTGTCTGTTTACTTGAAGGAGTTCCACTGGCATTTCCCGCACATTAATTCTGACCAATCGAAAAGCAGTTTAGAAAATACCGGACGTTTAATAACATCTGGCCAATGAGTGATGTGGATTTTGTCAGATGACTCCATTTTGGTTCTTTTTTTAAACTGGTTTGGACCAAAGCAATCAGTGTGGTGTGAAAACAACCCAGAGACAGCAGAAAATGCTACAATGTATCATTTGTTGCCCTTGATCCGGACCAAATGAACCGAACTACAGATGTGAAAGCCCCCTTAATGGCTAGAGAGTACTCATGTTCTGAGAGAGTTTACGTACTGAATGGATTTCCGTAATTGACCACAAAATGGCATGTAGGAGAATTGAAAACAAAACAATTGAACCAATTGCTTCACAAAATGATTAGCTGTTTTGAAGCTTTTGAAATTTATTTTGTATAGTGATATCTTATTTATGTAACCTGCTTAAAATTTGCAGTAAGAAGTTTAAATTATCGAATGATTAGGCAGTGAATAAGTAAACACAATTATTGTCCAGTAGATGGCAGTAGTGAAACCAAAGAGAATTGAAGCTAGCAAAATGTCCAGCATCAAGAAGAAAAGTGACTGAATAATCATTCATAAGCTAAGCTATATGCAGGAGAAGGAAATCTTAAATATATAAGGCAAAAGAGATATTTTGCTTGTTTTTTTCTCCATAGAAAGAAATTATTTTAGGCAGCATTATTTTAGGTGTTTATTCCTTTCACGGATTGATGTGTTTACCTGTTTTCTGGTAAGTTTACAGTGTTACCTGTGTGTTGCTAACGTAAAATGTTTTAAGTATTGTTTTTTTTGCAAAATACTGTTAGTAATATTACGATCTTGGTGCCTTCACATTTCAATGTTTATTTATTTATTTATTTTTATTTTTTTGGAGAAATAAAAACCAACTGGAGAGTTATATGAGTTACATAAATACAAGATTTTATTGCAAAGCTGTATGTTATCTAGCTCATGGTGTGATTTGAGTGCTTGTAACTTGTTTAAATTGCTGTACAACTATGAAAATGGGTTATTTTGAGAAATTGTTTCCAGATTTGGAAGAAAGCTTATAATTGATTTCAGTCTAATTAAATCATTGCCCTATCAGGGAGGTTTTTCTTTTTTTTTGTTTTTTTTGTTATATGCCTGATCTGGTACGGCAACTGGATTCACCATCATTGGACAGATAGAAGCGTGCAGGATCCCAGCACGGACGGTTTCCATTTAGCATGTTTTCAATTTCATCTCACAGATAAGATGGAGATCACATCACATTAAATTATACACACAAACACACACAAACACTACCCGGGTAGAACATTTTTTTTTTGGTGGTGTTGGTGATGGTGGTGGTGGTATTTTATAACAGAGCTCTTAATTAAATTTTAAGACGTTTATTCCAATTTCCCCCCAACTTT